AACACTAGCCAATCCTGATGAAACGACCTTTTCATCGTAATTTTTTCATGTATTGCCAAGATATTAGTGTTTCTAGAATACAAAAAAAAATTTGACAAAAATTGAAAAAACGCCCTCAACTTGCATCTTTTGTCTTCCTATCATAAACTATTCGAAACTCGAGGTATACTTGCAAAATGTAACATATGTTACGCATAAAACATTTCGAGCAAATTTAAAAAGTAAACAAAGAAAGGTACAAAGAAGTGCACATCATTGTCTTCTTCACATCCTGAATACATTAAATTTACTGTGGTTTTCGGTGTAATGTATTCAGAATTGTCAGTTTTATTTTGCTCTACTCTACCCTACATTATCCTATCTTACTTTCATCTACTCTACCCTGCGTTGATCTATCCTGCCCTACCCTATCTCTTACTTTACTCTACCCTGCCCTACATTTAAAAGTGATGCATTACATTAACTTTACTCCTTTTTTAAAAACCTCCATTTCACAAAAATCAAAGTCTTTCATACTGTAACTTAAAATTTTTAAAAATGTCATCAAGCGCGCTTAAACTACAATGACATTTATTTGTTTTTCCGAATGTTGTTAGTCACATAAAGGCTTGTGTGTAAAGATACGTCATGTTTGAGAAGCAAAAACGATTAAATTAAAATTATCCGAGACAAATGTCATTTCAAAAAGAACACAGATCGAAAAAGAAGATGATAAAAACAACTTAAAAATAAAAAAAAAAATCTTTATCACTAATTAGCATACTAAAACTTGAAACATCACTTTTAGCTTTTATTGAATTGATACGGTATCATTTTATCAGTTTACAGTACTAAATAGTACTGAAAAACAAAACAAGTTCAATTCCGAAGCTTATATTAATATTAGGTTGGAGTCAAATAATCCTGTGTCCCCCTAACCCCAAAAATTTGTTTTGAGAAGGAGCACAGAATTAAGTTAACAACCTAATATTTACTATTTTAGGCCTTATTTACAACATTTGAACAATTATCGTATTTTACACTCCTTCTACGTAATACTTCCAAACCAATTTATAGTACATACCACGTACTACTTACAAGAACAGTAGTAGCAACGCAAAAATACGTGCAAATATGTTTGCCTAAAAATTTTTGATTGCACGACACAAAAATAAAAAAGACCGTAAATAGGCAGTAATCGAATATTGAGTACTACTCACTTAGTATCATTCAATTATTCACCGGTATGATGTCGAACGTTTACTCTAAAATTAATGTTTTGCCGTCAACTTCCTGAATTTAATCGAGTAACTTTGGAAAAGCAACTAATGTGACATCATTGATCTGACATACTGTAAGAAAACTGTTTTTTGGGTTCACCTTTAAACAACCATACCTTACTCCACAGTACATTATCCTACAGTAACTTACTCTATTCGAGTGTATATTACCATACTTTGCTCTACCCTATCCCACTTTACTCTACTCTACCCTACCTTAATTTACTTTAACTTCTCTTACCCACAATATCTTTCCATAAAACATCCACCTTGTCCTACCGTACTCGACCTACCCCTTCTATTTATAGCTTTCTACCCTTAAATCACCAAAAATTTCCATCTTCCTCCACCCACTTTGACCTTATCATATAAATGTTATACCAAAATAAACCGTCTCCAGAGTATTTGTTGCCATGTTCACACAAACAGTTTACTCCACAGACACTCGATGTAAACTATTTATGTGACCCAAAAACCAAAATGTTCAAACTATTTGTAGCGTTCTGAAGTGATGTAAAAACAAGAATTCGTGTAATGAAACGGAAGCCCTGAAGCCCTTTTTTCTGAATTTTAATTGGCGAAACAACTCAAAATTTGCATGTATTTTTAGATGGCTTTTTTTTAATTGAATTGATAAAAAAAACTTTTTTGATCGTCTTAAAAAATCGAGTGTCATATTCATTTTTATTTTTAAATTTAAACTAGGAAACGTGTCTGAAATTACAAAAAAGTTGAGTTGTTCTAAATAACAGTACATATGAAAATAAACTTTTAGTTTTAAAAAATAGAAAATGAAAAAATGTGATTAGAAAATACGTACATAAAAGTAATAAGCAGAGTCCCCAAATTTCAAATTTCCAGCTCCGACTCCGCCTTTTTTTTTAAATTTTAGCTCCGGCTCTGAAACCCGTAGGAACTCGGGTAATAAGTATTGAAATATTATACATACAACAAGATATTGTGTTTGAAACAAACCGCCAATATAAAGTACTACGGTAAAAATGAAAAGCTGTTAGAGAATAGTACTACCTACTAGGCTGTGTAAAGAGTTTTGGACTCCCGACCCTCATGTAAGAAATTGTTTTTGCGTAAAAAGAACGACCATATAGTAATCGAGGTAATTACCATCAGCATTAACGCAGTTGGTCATCACTTCGCGCTTTAACTTGAGAAATGTATTTATTATTGTTTTTAAAGCTTTTTATTTAGAAAGGGCCCAATAGTTTTTACACAATTTGAGATGTACCTATTTTTCGATCCACCCCCATACTCCCATTAACCCCATCTTTTCTAGCTGTATGCCGTTGAACCATACTTTGTTAGTTTTTTGTACGAATAATGACCTCATATTGCAGTAAAAAAATCAAGTTTTACACTTATAAGTTGCAATAAATAATACAGTAAGTAATTATAATCATATTTAATTTACAGCAATTTTACAGACAAAGGAATCATGTTCTTGATTTGAGGCTTCAGCTTAGAAATACAAAGGTTTAACCATTAATAATATTAAAACATCATTATTTTTAATTAACGTATGTCTTCAGGACAAAGTCCGAATAATCATCTTTTTACAAAGATTACTTAGTTTTAATTTTGCAAAACATGATTAGTTAATACATAAAAAGGTAAAAAATTAACAGAAGGCGTTAAAATACACTGTTTTTATAGAAGAGAGTACGGTAAAATCACAAATCCTCCCCTCACCCCACTACCACAAACATTTCTTCTCTTTACAACTAACTCCCTGCCCTTGGTCACTCCCTTAAAAACCCGACCTTAAGCCTTTTACAGTTTCGTACTCAACGTACTCCCGGAGCACTATAATTCGTTCAAGCCCAAATAGTTTCTGCTAATCTCAAACTCAAATACGATTTCGACTACAACAACATTCTTAAATAGCCGGAAGCGGAAAACAAAGTTGACGCTAGCGAAATTGAATTTCTTTCGCTAAATTTGGGTATCATTTAACGAGTATATAGTTTGTATGTTTAACGGATCACTAAGTGAGGGTGGAGGAGGGATTGGGGGCCGTAGCGGGGGTGAGAAAATAAAAAAGTGACATAACTTTCTTCATACACTGAGTTGTTACATTTTATAGAGATTATTTGAAGGTTATAGAGCAGAATAATGCAACAATTTGTCACAGTGTTATGTGAAATGCAATTATAGGAGTTATGAGTAACAAGATTTTACGTATTATTTTAAACGTACATATTCGTACGGTAGAGTGAGCTTGATTTAAACACAAAATGCACACTATCTATTGAAAGAGTTAATCAAAGACAACATCGCTACTTTTACAGACAAAAAATAGTAAAAACCAAATGGTTTTGCCACAAAAACAACTATTACACCTGATCTTCAGAAGCCTTTAATCTTACCTACTGTGCTTGTTATAAGCTTTAACATGACAAATCTTAAATACATCCTTACCAAATCTTAACATGAGTAAAATATTAACCTACCTTTTAGACACACTTCGAGTTGAGCGTTCCGAACTTAAACCGCAAGGTAGCGGAACCAAATCTTTTTCTAAATCCATCAATGACCTGACGCAAAGACCCACAAAGTTGTCCAAAAACTCGCTGAAGGCTCCATTTAGGTATTACCGAACAATCATGCCAATAAGACCTCTGAAAATTCAAGAATTCAACATAACTACATCTTTTCCATCTTATGCACCCAGTTACACACCTAAAACCATTAAAAAACAACAAAATAACTCACATTTGACTATTGCAAAGACTGATCATGTTTTCCACGTCATATTCTACATTTTATCAGTATTGGAGCTGATTACAACTCATTTCTGGTCGAAAAGTGTTTTCCCAGTTCTATAACGTTGTCTCAAAGCTCGTTGAACCCCCATTAAAATATTACCAGGAAATTATGCTAACAGAACCTCTGAAATTTAAGAGTCCAACCCAAACACGTCTTTTCCACCTTGTTTCCCATTTCCAATCCTAAAATCGTAACGAAAACAGCAAAAAACATACATTTGACTATTTCCAAACATTTATAATGTATTCCACAACATTTTCAACATATTAAAATATTTCCAAGACTTTATTACGTCTTGGTATCTTCTCTACCTCCATTCTAGAATTATTTTCGCGAAAAATCGCAAAATTTTCTTCAAAATTTATTTTTTTATTCGCATGATGCGGCCGACAAGCGGTAACGATGTTTCATGCAAACTTCAGAATCTTTTTATACGATCTCAAGTAATTAACGTTTCGTGTTTTATTGATAAAAAGCTTATTGTGCTAGTGAAGGTAAAACGTCAAATTATCTATCGTAATTTTTTTAAAAACGTTTTGCGCATTGAAAAGGATAATATATTGTTATGACGCATTTTTTAGACGAAAGGACACATCTTTAGAAGTTTTTAGAACAGAATAGGTTATTTTATGCTTTTTTTATATTTTACAAAATGATTTTTTTAATAAAACAGAATGATGTATTTTACATGTATTTGATGACAACTTTTTTAGACGACTCATGACACATTTTTTGAACATTTTTTAATTTTGATGTTTTTGTCAGATTTTTGTATTATGTTTCGTCAAATCCAATTTACTGTCTAAAAATACACCTAATTTTATACTTTACAAACACAAAATTGTAATTTAGGTATAATTGTGTGAAATGTACTCGAGAGTCTTATTGCGAAGGATGCTCATTAGAGGTGGGTAATATTGAGTTAATTGGTGTTTTGAGGCGAATAACAACAAGGAGATGCGCCCGGTCTCTACTGGCAACCGACCGAATTCTGATGGTAATCAAACTTGGGCCGAATTCGAAGTTTTACCGCTGTTGAGGTGGGTATGATGTTGTTATAGGTTGTCAGTTATGAAAGTTATTGTAATATGTTTTAGGTTACGGTGAAACGGAGCTTTTGGTTTATATTTTTAAGTATTAATATAGTGGTTATTTTTAGGTCTGGTGCATCAATTTTGTAAGATATGATCTAATTTTTCAAAGTGTTTTGATATAGGGGGACCGATTCGCAAAAAGTGTCGTATATGTATTTTATCTCATGCCCTACTTTTTCAATATTGCTTTCATAATGCAGTACAATACTAACCCAATCTATGATGACTAATTTGCTTTACCATTTAGCCTAGAATCCACAATGCAAGGGAACAAAGTGATATTAACCACAAGACCAACAACTTCTGGAGCTGATGAACTTCGTCAGCGCCGTGCCACGTTCACAAGGTCAAGTACGAACGTCTATAATCAAATAGCGTTACCAGGTTCTCTGATGTCATCTAAAGGTAGTGGAGCTCGCCCATCAACTTCTAGTGGGCATGGTAAAACGAGAAGATTGGGCAGTTCAGCTAATTGGAAAAACGCTGTCCGGCAGGCCATGAATAATATTCAAAATGTAATTTTTGGAGTTGGTATGAAATAGGGAAAGGCTATTTTTTATTTTAAGTTTTTGTAGCTTTCAGAAGTATATTTTAAAGTTTAAATTATATTTTAAAAATTAAACTTAAGCCACATATTGTTTTAGATAGACGAGATAGAAGAACCCCACTGCTCAAATGTTGTTCAACGAATACAATTGTCATCTTTAGACACAGAGGAAGAAGAGAAAGCTGATGATGTAGCTCTGATTCAAGAAAAAGATGGTCAAGATACGAAAAGAAGTGACAAATCTTTAAAAACGTCTCCTAAAAGAGTACAATTCAACATCGAAGTCAAAGTTGAACATCTTGGCAGTAGTATGGTTGGCGGAAAAGGCGTGGTAAGTTTTTTTTTGACTAAAACAGGTAGGATTACCTCCCGCTTTGAGCTAAATTTACGGGCCGCACCTAAAAGTTGGACTAGGCCCTCGGGATTTGCTTAAAACGGAGGCCCGAGAAGAATTTTTTCATCGGACTAGGCCCAGCCTGGGCCGTTGCTCATTTATAACTTTATTTCAACCCACTCTCTTGCTCTTATTTCGCTAGCCTATCCTTACCTTTTACTTGTCTTAGGCGTACCGTAAAACTAACTCTAGCCTAACCTTATATTAACCTGTCTAGCCTGACCTGAAACCTTTCTACTCCTGCTGTTAGAAATTTAAATCTTGTTTTGAAAAACTCCCAAAATAACAGTGAATACTTGTTATTTATACCTACGAAGCCATACCTAAACATTTCTAATCCATATAATTCGTCCTAATGAAGAATAAAAGGGCCATCTACCTCCGTGTTAGTGTTTTACCTAGTGAACGAGTGTTGGACGACTTTTTGAGTTGCTTTTAATGATTCTGGAGTGGGAATTGGCTTAAAAAATTGGTTTGAGTTTTAAAATGGGGGGGGGGGGAGGGTTTTAAGGTTTTTACCATACCTTAGTTTAAACACTTCGCTAAGGAAGGGGGATTTTATGGGGGTGAATGTGCTTTTTTCTCTTTCAAAAAAAATTGGGGAGGCTTCTTTGTTCTACACTTAGTTTTAGCTCTAGTCTTAACTCTATCCTTAGTCTCAGCTTTCAGCTTTAGTCCTAGCTCTAGCCTTAGCTTTAGTTTTTGCCCTAGCTTTTGCCCTATCTTTTGCCCTAGCTTTAGCCTTAGTTTTAGTCATAGCCTTGAATTTTTGTCTTAACCTTAATCTTAGCCCTAGCTCTCTAGCCTTATCTCTAACCTTATCCTTAAACTCTTGTCTCAGTACGGCTTTAATTCTATTTTTTTAATAATGACAGTTCATTTCACAATTTTCAGTACCCACACCCTCGAAGTGAGCCCGGCGCATCGACCGGTATGAGTCGTGAACAACATGCCTTCCTTAACAGGTATGGAATGCGACTGGAAGATGCTGATCAACAACAAGGAGTTCGATTCGAAGGCGGTTTTGTCAAGTTCTTGAGGGAAGACTTCATTGTTGATCCAACACACGACTACTCGTACTATTGGAATGGCGTGGTGGCTTTTGTTTATCTCTACAATCTTTTTGTGGGGTTTCATGTTTTTCTGGATTTCAACTTTTTGAAATTTGGTATTTTAGGTTTCTTAACATAGTCGGGGCTCGGCGGGTGATTTTTGATCTGCAAGGGGAATTTTTTTAAAAATTTTGACGTTTTTCAACATGAAAAACATAGCATTTTTACGACAAAACTTTTTTTCACGCTTTTCAGTTAACAATTCATTCTAATACCTAAACTTTTAGTTTGTTCCCTACCGATGCGTTTTCTTAATAGACGACGTGCCACATACAATCATATTCGCCTTTCTACTCTGCGATATCATATCAGATATTGTCTACCTAATAGACTTGTTTATCAGAGCACGTACTGGCTATCTAGAACAAGGATTGTTGGTTCGAGATAAGATGAAAACATGGCAAGCATACAGGAAAAGTTGGTTGTTCTATGCTGATGTTCTTGGTACGATTCCACTGGACTACTTCTGTGAACTAGCACTTTGGAGTCCGAATCCCTTTTTGAGATTCAACCGGTTGATAAAGTTGGATCGGATTCAGAACTACATCAATGCTACGGAGACAAGGTTGGGTTTATGTTTTTTGATTTTTTTTTGGTTTTTAGGGTTACTGTAGGGAGGGTTATTTATATATGACATTGTTTTAGAATTTCAATTCCAAACGTGTTCCGTATAACATGTGTCGTGATGTACATCTTGGTACTCATTCACTGGAATGCTTGTTTCTACTTTTTGGTATCTATATGGATTGGAATCGGGACGGATTCTTGGGTCTACGGATATGCTAATACCCAAGCTCTTCCACCGTAAGTATTCAATTGTTCAAATAATTCTGCGCCCTCTAACTCCGAAGATTTACTTTTCCAATTTTCAGAGGCATAGAAGACAGTTGGGGTCGCCAATACATTTACTGCTTTTACTGGTCGACTTTGATGTTAACAACGGTTGGTGAAGTACCATGGCCTGTACGAAGCATTGAACTTGTAATTGTTATTGTTGATTTAATGTGCGGAGTGCTTATTTTTGCTACAATTGTCGGTAATGTAGGAACGTAAGTTTGTTTTTACTATAATATAAGGATTTACTAGCTTGTTCAAAAAATAATGAGCCATGTCTTATGGAAAGTTTAAAGTAATCAGCTACAGGCTTGAATTATGTTTTTTAGTGGTACAATTTTAGAAAAATTAATATTGTAGTGTATTGAACAGCATTTTGCTTTCAGTATGATCTCAAACATGAGTGCTGCACGTTCAGATTTCCAAAACAAGGTCGATGGGATCAAGAAGTATATGGAGATGAGAAATATTTCTGCCGAGGTAAGGTTGAATACAAGTTTTTTTTCAAAATTAGGTTTTTTAACAAAATTTTGGTTAGATACCTCTCGCTTGGGCTCTGGGCCAGACAGGGCCGGACCGAAGAAAATATGAAACGGGCCGAGTCGGGTTTTCCGAACTGGGCTCGAGGACCGAGGCTTAAATCAAGGTTCGGCCTATGGAACGGGCCGAAGATTTGCTCTGGGTTTCATTACAGGTTTTATCTAAGGGGTTTTGTCGAGGAACTAGGCTTAAACAAGGCCCGGCGTGTTTAATAATCTGCTTAAAACTTATGTTTTTTAGCTAGAAGAGCGAGTAATAAAATGGTTTGACTATTTGTGGAGCAACAAACAAACTATTAGTGATCAACATGTTCTACGAGTACTACCTACAAAGCTACAAGCTGAAATTGCTATGCACGTTCATTTTGAAACGCTGAGGAAAGTTCGCATCTTTCAGGTCAGATAATTTTTTAAATTTGTAAATTTTCATTTTTAACATCTCATCACAGGCCTTTTTTTAAGTTTATCCTTTTTGATTAAAACGCTTGTTTCAGGACTGTGAAGCCGGATTGTTGGCGGAATTAGTACTAAAACTAGAGTTACAAGTGTTTAGTCCAGATGACTATGTGTGTAGGAAAGGTGACATTGGCAGAGAAATGTATATTGTCAAGAAAGGCAGGCTTCAAGTTGTGAATGATGATGGAACTCAGGTCTTTCACACTCTACAAGAAGGCGCGGTCTTTGGAGAATTGAGTATTCTTAACATTGCTGGTAGGTTGTTTTAGATAGATTTCTGCTGGGGAGGGTTTTTTTTTTAATTTTAAGAAATTTGGGGGATCAAAAATTTCCTCAAAATAAAAAAAAAATTTTTTTTTATTTTTTAAATTTTTACAGTGTTTAACTTTCTTTGACTGGGGCACAGAATTACGTGAACAACCTAATATATTTTTAGGTAGTAAGCAAGGAAATCGCCGTTCAGCCAGTATCAGATCAGTAGGTTATACCGACTTGTTTGTACTGAAAAAAACTGATCTATGGGAAGCTCTACAAGAATATCCAGATGCTAGAAAGGTCTTGATTCAAAAGGTATTTTTACATTACTTTATTTTACCTTACTCTGCTTTATTTTATTACAACCTAATCTACCCTACTATACACTACTTTACCTTACCCTATTCTACTGTACTTTACCCTGCCCCACCCTAACCTACCCTACATTACTTTACCCTGCACTGTCTTGCCCTATCTTACTCATTCTATCCTACCTCGCTTTAACCTACCTTACCCTTTGCGACCTTTGTCTTTTTCAACTGTACCCCCACCTACCGTACTATACATTAATAAACAATTCAGGGCAAAGAAATCCTGATGAAAGACAACCTACTAGACGAGACCCTAGCCAACGAGCAACGTCCGCCAGAGGAATTGGCAGCTGAATTACAAGAATATGTATCTGAATTACAAACAAGATTGGCCAGATTAACGGCCCAAACCTTTAGTAATGAAGTCAAACTCCAAAAACGAATCGATGATTTAGAGAGGGAATTGAGGATTCAAGATGAAGGATTCTTTGACGAAGCTGCTGAAATGATGTTAATGAACGATGAACCTGATAGTATTGGGGAAATGAGTGGAAGATCGGAATTGGAATCAGAGAGAGATGCTGATGAGCCGGGGACTTCCGGGTTGCAGACTAAAAAGAATCAGTAGAGTAACTATTATGATATGTTAGAAATATATAAATCAAACAAAAGTACTATAAATTGATTTTTTTGGAAAAAACGGCAGTAAAAAACTTTTGCGCAGCTTCAAGCTCATTTTTTTCAAATTTGGCCAACCTTTCTATAATACTTAACAGGCTTTGGATAAAACAAGAAAGGACCGGTTCAAAAAAATATGATAGTGAAGCCCACTTTCCTGGCTATAAATTTAGAGCTAAATTTGCAAGTAAAAGCAGTGTTTTTCCTTGTCTAGCTAATTAATTGCTCTACTGTATTAAATAACCGTAAAAACAGTTGTTAAAATGGTTTTGATATCAGAAAGCAATCAAACCATTTTAACAAGTTGCGTATCATCATAAAAAATCAACTCAAGGTTGTCGCTTTAAAGTCAAGGTAAGTTAGGAAGTTCTTTTTGCATTTTTGATACGTTCACCTTTTAGCAATAAATTTAAATTAAATTTATGTTTCCAATTAAGGAAGAGACAATATACATAGTAAATAACAGGATAGGTAGGGCTATTCGTTTCTACTATACTCTGCTCGATTTTACTCTAACCGACCTTACTCTACCCTATTTTATGTACTCTACCCTACCTCGCCCTACTATATCCTATCTTACCCTACCTTACCATACCTTATTCTATCCCACACTACCATACCATACTATACCTTATCTTGCCTTACCCTATCCTACCTTACTTTTCCTTTCTTTCTTTGCCTTAGGGCGAGTTTGAACTTATGAGTGCTTACGCAATAAAAATTTATTCTTTCCAACTTTAACAGAGGGGGGGGAGACAAATTTCTAAAAATAGATTTTTTGGTTACCGTTACCCCTTTCTCTTTATGAAAGACCAATATGAACATTATGACAACTAAATTATGACAAACAAAGCAAACAAACCATTTCATATGCCTTTGAATGCTATACCATATTACACTGAACTCAACCACCATTACGTTCAATCCACTCTCTACTATGCTCAAGTTACGTCCAAAGGCAACCAAACCGAGTTGAAAGACCAAAGACAAGATAATAAAGTCAAAAAAGCGTAAATTACAATTGTTTTGAAAGGTTTGTTACAATAGCGACGGATTTCGGCGGCCGTTCTTGTTCTAATGACGTGCGTTAACGTTCTTTTAACACGACAACGAAACCATAAAAACATTTGTTTAACTACAACCTAACGCGCCGTGGTAATGTTGTCATACGAAAGGTAACCGAGTTCAAACAATTTACTTTTTTTCGCATAAGGTTAGGGTGAGATTGCGCTGGTTTTTAACGGGGGTCTTGCAATTTTAGGTATAAGTGACGTGATTTGTTTATTAAAAGGACGTGCCTTTTTTAATAAAAAGTATACTTATAAGGGTTTTGATTTGCGGGAATTTAAAATGTCAGTGGTTAACGGAAAATTCTTTTATCAATGCTAGATAGACTTGTAAAGAGTCTCCATTTTTTGGACTGACACATGTATATTACTGTTTCTGTGCCATAAATAACCAATAATTTAACATTTTTAATTTTTAAACACGATTGGAAAATTATTTTTAAGTTTTTAAATCAGCTTCGCCTTACCCTTTTTGCAAGTTAAATCTTTCGTTGCGGGACCGAAGCTGAGCCCGTAGGGAATCGGTTAAAGCCTCGGCTTTTTGATCTACATGTGCCGACCCGGCCCTCCTTTCAAAGATACTTTATCCAATCTCAGCCCGCGGCTAAGACAAGGCCTGCCCGGGCCTAATAATGCACTCCTTTCACGTCTATCATGAACATTGAGTAACAATGTCATGATATCAAAAACCCAAAAAGGTGGATATTAAACATTTTTTAACAGTAAAATAATTCCATACTTGCAAATCTTTTTTTAACTCTTATAATCAGTGAGTTAATTCTCTACACCCTTCTCTCTAACTTACTTTTCTTTACCTCACCCCCTACCTCCCCCTCCGTACTCCTCTTCAAAATCTGTAATTCTTCCTTGACTCTAGCTGTAAGCAATAAGAAATGCCTAATGTTTGACCGTCTTCCTAAAAATCAATGATAATTTTTAATTTCCAACTCTGGTCTCACCCTAAAAAACAATATCCTTTATTTTATTTTAACCTACTTTATCTTTTCTAGCCTTACCCCAATTTCAGACTCAACTTCCGTTGTTGAACTTAAACATAATAAAACCAACAAAAACCTTAAAAAGTGATTTACTGCCCCAACACTTGTAAACTGACGTCAAATGATCAAGTGACGATAAATTAAAAAGTTACTAATAACCAGCAGTTTGTGAACATTACAATAATAAAAGGTTTTTTTTCGAAAAAGAGGGTTTTTTTTCGATTTCGCGGGTTATTCAAAACACAATTGAATGGCGTTATTGAAGTGACAGAAGCGTTTGTTGCTTCCGTTACGGCCTTCCATAATATCATTGTAATTCCCAAGATCTTTTCATGTGATTTGTTTTTCAAGTTTACCGTGTTTTTATTGCTACCGTAGGGCTTCAGCTGAAGTTTTCCTGGTGTTGGGGGTTGATTTCAAAGGTTAGGGTAATTAAAAGGGTGTTTTGGTTGGCAGGTGACATAAAAAAGTCGTTATTTTTTATTAAGTTTTATCAAGGAAGGGCATGAGTACATAGGGTTTTTGATATGCGCTTTTTGAATTGAAAAATAAAATTTTTAAACAGTTTTTTATAATTTTACCCAACTGTACTCTAGTCTACATTACCCTACTCTACCTTACCCTATCCTATCTGATCCTACCCTACCCTACCCTACCCTACCCTACCCTACCCTACCCTACCCTACCCTACCCTACCCTACCCTACCCTACCCTACCCTACCCTACCCTACCCTACCCTTCCCTACTCTACATTCCTCTATTTATCTGTTCTACCCTGTCCTATTCTACCACACCCCGTCTTGCCTTGTCCTGTGCTGATCTGCTTTGATTTACACTGTCCTATTCTGTCGTGCCCTACGTTACTCCACCCTATCTTACGCTAGAATATCTCACCTTTTCTTTAACCTACTTTATCTTCTCTAGCCTTACCTCAAACTACCCGCCTTTTAGATGGAAGTAATATTTTTAGATTACCGTATTGTAGATTTTTTAAAAAATTTTTTAAAAAGTTTTTTTAAAAAAAAATATTTTAGTGTTATACACCCCTTCCCAAGATCAGACCAACAAAAGAAAGCTTGAAGATAAATATAAATCATAATATCAACTACAAGGTGTGCCGCCTTATCGACCTAGAGATATCTACTTAAGGTTAATCAACCCAGAAGATGTCAGAATCATCGTTGAATACGATACAATTCGACCCGATGTCAGTCACCCAAACCTGGCCCAAAAGTCGCGTTACAAATGAGTTTTTTCATCAAGCAAATCAACAACTGAATCAGAAGAAGATGATCGACGAAGCTCGAGCTTTCATAGCTGATAACTCGCAAGTTAGTCTAGACGGGGATGCCAAACAAGCTACAGACATTATACAACATCTTTGTGATGTTATTGAGAAGTTAGAGAAGAAACAGAACAATAATCGAAGGAAAAGTAGGGTTTTTGATATTTTTTAAATTGTATAAAAAATAATGAGCTATGTCTCATGGCATTGTATAAAGAATTTAAATGCTTGAGTTCAGTAGCTCATTATTTTTTATACAATTTTAAAATTCTAGGTAGACAAAGTATAGCCAGTCAGCTCCATCCGATGGGTGTGATAAGGGAAGAACCGCACTTTGAATCAATGATTTTTAGTGGAGTTAGTGACATAAGTCGGCGTGCATCGTCAGTACGAAGCTTTCATGACCCCGATGACAACGACAAAGATCAGGAAGTCGACATCAAAGAGCTTTATGATGAAATCGACCCGGTATGAGACTTGACTTATATTGTACTTGACTTTTTTTAAATTTGTTATTTTGTTTCCTACTTTACCCTACCCTACCAATACTACCCTACTCTACCCTACATTACCCTACCCTACCCTACCCTACTCTACCCTACCCTACCCTACTCTATCCCGTTCTATCCTCTCCTACCTTAACACATTATACCTTACTTTACCCCTCCCTATCCCATCTTAACCTACATTACCCTGCCTTAAACTATCCCACATTACCCCACTCTACCTTTAAATTTTCTTCGTTACCACATTTACCATTCCTAATACATATTTTAGCCTAAAATTTCAGTTTTTTGTCCGTTTCGTGCCCTACGCCATCATATTGGTGACAGCCATCCTGTATATATTTGTTGGTGCACTTGTTTTCGCTTCTATTGATCCAAAGATAGACGCTTTACCCTATTATCTTCAAGTACAGTTTACATATGAAGTGGTAACGACGATTGGCTGGGGTGACATTACACCCTCTTCGAATTGGGGCAAAATGGCTTGTGTTCTTTATCAGGTAGGTGCCCTTTTGACAATTTTTCGAAATTTTCTGTGACAAATGTTCAGCCTATCAGTGTGGTTCAAAAAGTCCATAGAACAGCGAATAATTGTCAAATCCGACCGAGTTTTCACTTTTCTATGAACTTTTGGACCAAATTTGCCATAGTTTTCTATAAAATTTTGAACCAATATAAAATTTCTCTACAAACTTTTAGACCAATTTATCAATAACCCACTTCAAATTCAGATAATCGGAGTCCCAATAGTCTTCGCAGCCCTATCAAACTGTGGTCGATTGTTGACAGAGTTCTACACAGTAGACTTCCTCTACCTGACAGCCGTTGTTCGTGGCAAAAATCCAACAAAAACTTCGCTGATCAATCAACTACCTTTAGTATCATGCATCAATTTGTTAGTAGTACACCTATTCATCGGTATTTTATTGTTTTCTGGACTGATAATGGAGTTGAGTGTAGTGGATTCGGTTTACTTTACGTAGGTTTGGTTTTTAAATATTTTTTTTAATCTTTGATATTTTAACCTATTCTCCCCTAAAAATTCGTTTTGGACCTTACTCAATTTTTTTTGAATTTGTTCAAAAATATTTTTTACCCCGCCCAAAAAAATTTTTTACCCAACCCTAAAAGTTTTTTATTCATTCCGCCTGAAAGAAATAATTTTTTTCACCCCGCCCGAAAAAAATTTTTTACCTCGCCCTAAAAAACTTTTTTTTACTCGCCAACAAAAATATTTTTTTTACCCTGCCCTAAAAAAATTTTAAATTTTGTTCCTTCCCTACCTCGAGCAATATTACACATACCCCAAAACATTTTTTTTCACCCGCCCAGCCATGATCTTCCTAAAAACCAATAACCCTTGACACTTTCAGTATAATAACCATAACTACGGTAGGCTTTGGCGACATTGCCCCGAAGCCCCATAACATGTTCGAGACCATTGTTGTCATGATATTCCTGTCGTCTGGAATAGTGGTAATGGCAGCATTGCTGGTCACGCTTTCGTACTACTTTCAGTTAATATTCTATGGGTATATTAACGATTGGATTTATGATTTGTACGAGAGGTTCAATTGCAAAAGGAAGGTTTCGCCGACCGAAGCCAAGTCTAATGGTTTTAATAGGGTTTAACCAGTTTAATCGTATTTCAAATTGCATTATGAAACGGTTTTCTCAAACACATTTAAATATTATATTTTAAAATTAACAAAGAAAGTACAAAACCTGCTTTGCTCTGACTGACTTCTAACTTTTTATATAGGAAAATCAGGTAGATATAAGACCTTCAGAAGAGTACTAGATCGCGCTTTCCAGTAAATCTCAAGAAAATCGAGATCAAACAATTACGTTTTGAATTTGCCGCCAAATTGACATTGTGTTTCAAGCTTATAACTTCGTCGTTTTTTTTTGATATACAAATAGAAAACCTTTAAATGGACCTACATTTTTAAATTTGTAGGCTTCCTTATCTGGAAAATAAAAAAAAAAGCTTGAGACACAATGCCAAATTGGCAGAAAATTCATAACTTTAATTTTAAAACTCAAAATGTCGAGCTAAAATTTTTTACGGGTACTATTGGTGGTACGATAAATTCATATAAAAACTTTGAGATGATTCTAAGCGGGGCAGGTTGGGTACTTTCCTTGTAAGTTTAGTGTGGCATTTGAAACGAATTGTACATTTTACCAAATAAAATATTATATTAGGTCGTTCAAATAATTCTGTGCCCACTAACCCCAAAAATTTTGTTTTTATAGGGGGACAGAATTACTTGGACAATCTGATATACTGCTTTTATGTTCTTTTGTCTTCTTTTATAAAAACAAAGGACTAAAATAATAAATTGTAATAAATCAAATATCCAAAACGCTCATTTTTAACTTGTTTAATGATTTTACATGGTAAAAACGCAACAATATAACAAATTTTGACCAAATTCAACAACAACTTATTACAACAAGTTCAAACAACAATAAAACTGTGTTAAATAGAAAAAAAAACTTACAAAATTCAAATTTTTCAAAAATCCACAGCAATACCACTCCCACATCCACCTCCTCCACAATCTTCACTCCCACAGCCACCAGCATAATTCCTATTTTCATCTATTGCCATTCTTTCAATCTTGTTTTTGGTTAACTCAACCACTTCTTTATCTGACAACTTGCCCTTCTTTGATATACCCAATGATAAGTTGTTCGTTTCCAATCCGTATAACAAAAGACATGCTTTACATATAGGCTGACTTGACATGAATCCACAACGATCACATCTTCTTTCTGTTGGAGCTTTAATGTCTTCTTTGGCCGCAATCTTGTCACCTGATGATATCAAGTCCAATATGGCTTGAGGACGCTCCCTTTCAAGGTCTTTTATCAGGACTCTAAAAGATAAATTTTAAAAATGTTGGAAGATGTTATTGTTACTTAACTAGATATAATTTAGTCTTCTAAATCCATTAAATATTATATAACACCAAAAAATTATATTGTAGTAGACGGCCTTTGTCAGTTCTTTCAATAAAACCCAAAATATATAAATTATCCTTTCTCCACATGCCGAAAATCTCCAAAAAACATCAATCTTACCTGGCATAACCTCTATGAGCATTGGTAGAGTATTTACAGTCCACACAAAAGTACGGCAGCTTCCTATGATGAGCATACATCACAATATCCTTCTCATATGTATATTTGAAAGGTTTTACTCGAGGCAATTGTCCTTCTTGACCAGTCATCGGAGCTGTACATCTCTCCAACCGAGGCACATCTCCTCTCAACATGTTCAACAACACAGTCTCGGCAATATCATCAGCATTGTGTCCTGTTACCAACTTAACAGCACCCACTAACATTGCTCCACGATCCAACGCTTGCCTTCTGAAGACTCCACAAAACGTGCAATTGTTTTTGTTTCCTATTTTCTTTACAATTTCGTCCATTGTCCAGCCGTATATTCGTTTGTAGGATAAGATCACAAGTTTCAAGCCTAGATCTGACTCGTTTTTGTGAACTTCTTCTATTGAGCCATCACGGTAGCCTAAAAGAAAGTAAAAAATCTATGGAAACTCAGAACAAACGTTTACTTATATCGAAAACGCTGGTGATCTCGTATTTTAACTATTAGAAACAATAAACATCCACACTACATCAAACAGCTTCATTATAGTGCCAAATTTTAATCATATCTACTTCCAAAACTAACAAAAACATTAAACACCCAGTTTGTCAACCAAAACACAAATAAACTTTCCACAAAATTTTTGCCATATGTTAACTATCCTATTCCCAACAAAAAAACACCTTCACACCATGCTAACAATAACGGCGCTAGGACAAATGCGGTTTTTGGACATTTGCGGATCTGCGGTTTTTAGACACTTGCGGATCTTCGGTTTTTGGACACTTGCGGATTTTTTAAAGGGGTTTTTTTTTATTTTTTATTTAATTTATTTGTAGTATGGTACTAAATGGTACTAAAGTTTAAATTGGCACTGTTTTAATATTTCTTAATGTTAAATAATACTAAATTTTTAATTGGTACTGTTTTTATATTTTTGGTACTAAATAGTATTAAAAGCCCAAAAAAGTACTGTTATGTTAAAACCGTACCAATTCAAACTTTAGTACAATTTAGTACCATAATACGACTAAATTAACTAAAAAATTAAAAAAAACCTTTAAAAAATCCGCAAATGTCCAAAATCCGCAAGTGTCCAAAAACCGAAGATCCGCAAGTGTCTAAAAACCGCAGATCCGCAAATGTCCAAAAACCGCATTTGTCCTAGCGCCACAATAACATCAATTCTTCCTAAAAACAACAAGAAAACCAAATACTCACCAGCAATACCTTCATCTATGCAAACTAGTATCAGTTCAAGTCCAAGATCATGTCTTTTATTCAATACGTCCAGTGTATTAGCCAAAACTGTCGAATCTTTTCCACCAGACACTCCAACAGCTACTTTATCACCTCGTTTAAATATGTTTGTCTTCTTTATCGTCTCATAAACGTCCTGAAACATTTATAAAACAAGTATAACATCTTATAAACATTTTAAAACACTACAGACATTATAAAAACCTAAAAATTAAAAATATTTTAAAGAAAAATCGGTCTTACCTCTTCAAACCAATAGATAAAGCACTCTTTACAAGCCAACTTTTGAGTTTTGCCAACCTTAACCTTCGCCATACGTTCTGAACATAGTTCGCACTTCATTTTAGTCTTTTTAAAAAGTTATACAACTTACAAGACCAAAAACATTAGTAAAAAATAATATTTCACAAAATTTATTTTATTTTCAACGAAGTGCCACAAATCTGATAAAACGTAAACGAAGTGTCACAAAATGTTAGACCATTATTGGTCGTTGTTGTTGTCGTTTTTGCCGTATGTAGCTTATTGTATATGTTGTACATAAATCATAATAAGCCTATGACGACTATAATTTTGTTTCAAAAATATTTTTTATTTCTCGTGTCAAGTTTGAGATTTTAGGTAACAAAGTTATGGTTATATTGCAGTGACTTTGATGGCTGATTATGCAGATTGTGCTAAATTATGTATTACATATAAATTTACATTGTATTTCACATACTAATGTCCTTTTATACCTCGAGGGCTAAACTAAAATCCTATAAATTTTGTGACATTCCGTCAATCTCACTTTGTCGCTGACTTTGAGGACTTTTGTTGCCTTGCAGCAAAGAAGATGACTTTCTCGTCTTGTCCTTTTCTGTTCAAGCCGAAATTTTTTAATTTTTCACGCTTTTTCTAACGAATTTTTGATTTTTTGGGTAATTGTAGATTATTCTTGGGGGATTTTTCTTCAGTTTATACCTATTTCCCTGTTTTCTGGATGTTATTGTAGTTTATTGTTCGTTTTATTGTGTCAAAAATCGTAATTTGTTGTTTCTTACAAATGTATGTTGATTGTAAATGAAATTTTTTAGAGGTTTATCTACTTTTTCGGAATTTGGGAGCCGGAAAAGTGTTCAGTGCTCTTTTTTATATTGTGATGAGCATTGAAGTTCCTCGAGAGACACAACTGTATACTTTGGACATTGAAACTGACCCCTTTGGACATTTAGTAAGTTTTTCTTGATTTTTTTTATATTTTAGGCTGGTGAATGGTACTTCATTGGGTTGGTATGGACTTATGGGCGTAGAATATTGATATTTATGTGATAATTTTGGTAATATGGACGTAATTATGTTGGAAAACCACATTTTATTTTCAGGACTCACGTTATCGGCTAGCCGAACTTGTTTGGGAAACTTCTGACGCTCTTGTTAAAGTTGGATACGAAACCGTCGACGAAGCTACCTCGCTCCAAACTCGAATCAAGGAAATTCCACTGGTTGTTGCCGAGAGATCTCTAGACTCCGGCTTCTTAACCCTCGACAGCCTCGAAGTATCGTGCTTGAGTGTGGACGTTGTAGAATTTGAGGAAGAAGCTTCTCAATTCACTTCGACTCCTCACAAATCCAAACTTCCGAGTGCGGTTCAGATTTTGTTGGATTCTTGTGATAACAACAACTGTGACAAGATGTTCAGCAATTCCGTCGGATACAATCGCTTTATGGTGTCTTCACACCAACATAGCTTCTTTCAGTCGCAAATGTTCAATGACTCGAGAGTTATCGAGGAATCGAATAGAATTATCGACGAGTTCCCGGATATGGCCGATGAAGTAATGTTACTCAAGTTCTCGCAGCTGGAGAAGGATCTTTTGATTGGTGTATTGGGTTCCAAACACATTTACAAGTAAGTCTGTAGTTTTTACTATGTTTTTTAATGTTTAGGTATGTCTTTCAACTAACAATCGTATCAAAATTAGCAATTTATGCCATCAAGGCTAACTTTTTGGAAATTTTTTGATTTTATCTTTGAACTTTGACGTTGCTACACTTTTTTTTGTTAATGAAGTTGGATATTTTGTGCTCTCATTTATATTTCAACCTTATTATAATTTAGAAATTTCAGACAACTTCAAGAACGTTTTGAACGATCAGAAATTTTGAGATCAGGGCTGGTGGATATGTTGGTCAGTCATAAGGTTATCAACACTCTTTCCATGGATCCAATGGCAAACTATGTGATACAGGTAAGGCGTTTATTTTGGAAGTCGGTTTTTAGGAGAAATTGGTAAACATTTGTAAGTTTTATGGTTTAATTTGGGAAAAAATTCAATGTTAACATAGGTTTTGGATGACACAAATTAGATTTTGTTATAACTTTTTTGGATATATAGATAGCGGTTGGAAAGTTTGTGGGATTTCAGGTTATTGTTGGCGTCATCTATCGTAGCATTTACATTTTTAATGTTTGAAGCCGTTTTTATGTTATCATTGATTTATTGAACTATACTTCAAAATCTTTTGATTTATAACCTTTTTTTTATTTATGCCATTTCTTTTCAGGACTTGATAAAGCGATGTCCAGAAAAACACGAAAAGATCATGAAAGAGTTTTGTCGCCAGCCCAAAGACTTGGCCAATGGTCGATGTTCGTCTCGAGTTCTTCAAGAAGCTGTGGAACAAATGGAGCCAAACTTGGTCAAAGACTTTTTGTTCTCTCTGCAAGGCCATGAAGTTGACATTGCGAGAGATCAGTGTGGAAATCATGTGATTCAGAAGATCTTCGACTGCCATCACTACTCGGTCTTTGATGATCTGACTAGAAGGGTGGGTGTTGGAGGTTTTGTTTGATTTATTTAGATTTCTGTGAAGTTTTGGATGTTTTATGTTAGTATTTTTGAATAATTGGTCAGTTATAGCCTTTTTATACCTAAAACAGTAAGTAATGCCAATATCTTTTAGCTCTCGCAAGTATGTGTGTTGGATTCCATCGTCAAGTCCAAGTATGGTTGTCGAGTAATCCAAAAATGTCTGGAAACCTTGGCCGATGCCATTACGGAGGATACCGTGCCCGATTCCATCAACTGTTTGGTCATGCCACTGCTCCAGCGTGCCAATGAGTATACACGGAATGAGTATGCCAACTATGTTATTCAGAATCTGATGAAACACCCGGCTTTGGAGAGACAAAGGGATTATATCATTGATGTTGTTGTCGTGTAAGTTTATGTTTTTGGATTTATGAGATATAATATTATCTTTTTTTATAGTGGTGTAGTGCTTTATGTTTATAATGATGTTAAGATGATAATTTTTAGTAGACAATGGTCGTTTGGGGTGGTTAGTATCGCTAAAAACGTATTATATATTATTAGAGCAAAAATAAAGTCTTGACGCTTTTTAATGTTATTCTGACTGTTGCAGTGGTAACATCTTGACTCTATCTCAAGACAAGTTCGCCAGTCACGTCGTAGAAACCGCTCTCGAAGTCTCCAACACTGAATACATGAACAAGCTCTGCACCGAGATCTTTGACGACTACGAAGTTAACGCTAAACATCAGACCGCCTTGGAAATCATGATGCTAGACCAATACGGAAACTATGTCGCTCAAAAGTTGTTGGACTTTGTCATTCATGTTCACGATGGTCAAGTGCCAGGTGATCAGAAGTGGATTCAGACCTACGTGGAGACCGTGATCAGGCTACGCTCGAGGTTGGAGAACTATTCGAGTGGGAAGAAGATTCTGGAGAGGATTTGTCTTCTGACGGAACAACATTAACGCTACAGCGTTGGATTCATATCGGTAATGTTCGTTTTGGCACAGTGATTTATATTGTTTATGAGGATCAGTGTCTTCTTCTGTAGTATACCTTTAATTGTTCATATTAACGTTTACATGGATCTTGTGACATTAGTCCGTCTTTGATCTTCTGTAGTATAACTTTATATTGTTCATATTAACATAACTTTGTCTCTTACAGTTGTCTCTCACTCTACATAACATATTAACCTTTCGTACATCTGTATAGCCTTTAAATGATTGAAAATGTAACGTCTTTAATCTATGTGATGATTTACTAACCCTTTTTAAAAACTTTTCCATTTTTATGGTATTGTAACCTTAAATTTAACCTTTTCAATAAATTAACCTCTATATTCTAGTCTTTCTAACTTATTCAAGGTTACTGTAACCATTTCTCACCATTTATCTTTTATTTTGTCTTATTGCACTTGTAGATTCACTGTATTGAACTTGTACATGTGCAATTTATAATAAATAGTGTGAATAAAGTGTTTTGTGTGGTATATCTTGGTATTTTATGTTATTATAGATCATGTAAATGTGCATATCATAATAAATTAGTCGTCCAAGCAAAAAACAATGGCACAGCCGTCGAAAGTGTCGGACAAAAGTGCTCCACATCGATCTTTCTCCAATCCAACGACGAACGCTCGTCTTCTACATCCACTTTCAATCGGTTCCTTGGCACAGCCCATCATCTTCAACGACGGAGACTGGCCATAATTAGTGGAGATCCGATCCAGTAGCTCTGTGGCTAGTGCTGGAGCGTACGCTACGACCTGTACAATTGTTATTTTAGATAGGAAATCTTGATTTATGTCAATATTTTGAGGTTTTTGCGAAAGTTTGTACGATTTTGGCCCGAAGCGATACTTTTCTATACAAAGTTGGTATGTATATGGTTTGTTTTTGTAAAAAAAATCTGCTTCAGTATATGTTTCTAAAATTTTTGACCAACAAAAAGCAATTTAACATTGAAAAAACTTACAGCAGGAATGTGTGCAGCCTTTTCCAAAGCATTACATTCGGAATCGTTGAGTAAAGGTGTTTCCAACCGGCTGTAATCAAACGTATCTTCGATGTCAACGTTCACATCGAATGCTTTTCGATCCATTACGTTTTCTGGGGTCAACTACAACATAAAGTTAACATGAATTGTCAAACAATGCTAAGGTAAATGATAAAAAATTTTTGGGGTTGGTAGGCCCAGAATTACTTGAACAATCTAATAAAAGAGCACAACATACCATTCCTCTTTCAAACTTGAATCGACTATCCACGAAATCGAGGTAACGGCCTTCTAGTTGGTTTCTGACGTAAAATTGAACGACTTCCTAAAAGTTATGTAATCATATAACATATAGGTCGTAGCATATTTAACTTACTGAAAGATTTTCAAAAAGGTTCATCTTTCAACCAAAAATTTAAAATTTTTTCAAATTTCAACTTTTTTAAATTTTACTTACTGGAAGAGGTTCAAAAAGATCTGGTTTTTGATATTGCTTTAGGTAGAAGAGTTTGTTCCTCCTCATCAGAATGTTAGACGGGTCCAGTAGTAGAGCTGTAGCTGCTGATTGACTTGCTGATGTCCCTTGATTCACTGAAAATTCCAAAATCAATAAATTTTACTTACTAAAATATAACATATATAATACTAATGTTACAAGTATAATAATATATACCATATTACAGCTCAAAACCTTACAATTAAACTCGCAAACATGAAGATGCTCAAAGAACAAAGCCAAAAAGTTCTTGAAACGTTGTCCATTCACAATACTCAGTTTCTCAGGACATTTATGTTGGCATCGTACTACAGACGTGTGTATGCTAGTAACCACGACAGACATTTCAGGGTTATCACCGGTTAATGAGCTCCAATCAAGTTCGTCTTCACACAACGAGCGACAATCTCGAACGTCCTTCAGATAGGCTTGAACTCCTTGTTTGAAGTTGGACACGCATTGCTGCCATTGGCCGTTGGTGTAGGCTTCTACGCCTAGCATATAGAATTTCTGAAAAAATTAAAATTTTGAAAGGCAGGGTATAGCAGGGTAGCGTAGAGAAAGGAAAGGTAAGGGAAGGCAAAATAGAGCGGGGCAAGACAAAAGAAGACAAACTTACCTCATAAGGCTTCTGAAGAGTATCAACTAACATTTCATCACGGTATGCTGACTGTTCCATGTAAAACTTGACATTATCAAGTGCTTCTTCATCTTCTGGATGAGCTACAAGGTAAGTGTAAGCAGCTTTTACTGCGTTTTCCAAGTCATTCAACTGAAAATCATCCAAAATATCAGGTTATTCCCATAATTCTGTGCCCCCTGACCCTAAAAAATTGCTTTAAAAAGGGGCACAAAATTATTTAAACGAAGCAATAAATCTTTTTGCCCTTTAAAGGCCAAAAAATTGAAGTTGCGTTTAAAGAACGACCTCCTTACCTTGCCGTAACCAAGAATAGACCCCTTACCTTATAATAACAAAGCTGCATGTAGTGATAAGGCTTCCTGTTCATAAACTCGTCGTATATCTGATAGTTTTGTAGTGGTGGTCGTCGTTCCGTGAACTTATCTTCACGACATCTCAACAAACACAATGCCATTTGGGCTGTGTTGTACATACGAGCCAGATCCAACTTATCATCAGTAGATTCAACTACCATAGCACACTTTTGGCGACACCATAAAGTTTCATCACGATAATAGTTGAAGTCTTCGATAGCACGACGCATAAATCCCACACAATCGTTCCAGTTGCCTGAGGTGTATTCGTTCTTGCCGTATCTGAAAATATACGTGGGTTAAGGCTTAACATACCTAAATGTATAGGTACTACCGGGGTGCCCAGTAGTCCGGATCAATCCGGCCGCCTTTGCTAAAGCACTCTTCTACGGCCAGCTATGGAGAAGGCGGACCGGTCGAACCCGATGGCACTCGCTGGTCTTGATTCCCAAAGACCGGGCTAGCCAGCTGCAGCTATCTGTCTAGTCTATATTTAATATAAGATAGAAGATGATAAAGATAGTTACCTAAATGCCAAAAAGAAAAAAAATGAGACGAACTTACTTGTATAACGCTTCAAATGTTAAGGTAGGGTCTTCCGGTGTGGCAGAGATTGATGAGAAGGCAGTGATCAAAACAAACCAACTGAGAGTCGACCAAGTCATTCTGAAATATTAAATAAACACTATCACCTTAACATCTACATCAGTTACTATTAACGTTCCGCCTATAGCCGTATTTTACAATTTTAAACCAAATTTAAAAACTAAAAAAGTGTCCAAAGCCTTAAGTACCACAATAAAATCAACAATAATATAGCTAACGTTAAGCAAAAATAAAATTTCCAACTCTTTTTTTTTAAATTCTGAATCACAGATGTTTTTACCTTTATTTCGGCCCTTTGACCTGTTTCCTTTTCGTTCCTTGGCCAAGAATTAAGGAAACACTTTCTGGACAAAGGCCGACGAGCGAGGAGGGGTTCCATCACAGCTGCTGACCAGAAGGGCGTTGGATTATTGTTAAACAAAGTTTCTACATGTGTTCTAGTGTTCCCTTCAGTAGTATGACTTTTCTGAAACGTGTTGTAAATTCGTATTTTGAACATGGGGGTATCAGCCTTCTTTTTATGATTTTGTAACCTATAAAGTGATGAAGACAAACCTCGTTAGCATGACACTCAAGAGGCTGGATCAAAGTATAGGTAACGATAAGACAAGGGGTAGAGTTAAAGGTAGTATAGACTAGTATGTAATGGAGCCAACCCTAGTTGACCCTCCTTCAGGTCTAGAATAAGAGTAAAAGCAGCGGTAAGGGTGGAGGTGTACAAATATAAGTAAAGGTAAAGAGATAGACAAAGGCACAGATATTCCAGAAAAAAAAACTGTCCTGAAAATGAAAAAACCACAATTCAACATTAGTTAGCAGTTTATATCCAATACGATTATCCATATTAGTTTAAGAAAAAGTAACAAAATGAAAAGTGAAAAAATGCAAACTTAACAATTCGTCTAATCCTTATTATTATTTATAAATTTTAGGCCCACCTAAAGATCAAGCTTACAAGCATAGATATAAATACAACTACAATATAAGCTTATAAGATGAGGACTCAAATTAATCGCTTTATCACTTTCTTTTATAAATTACACTGTTCTCTGCATTAAAAACCTTAAAAAATAAACTGATTATTACCTAAAAATTTTAAAAAAATAAAAAGTGTAAAAAATAGTAGTTAGAAGATACAAAATATAACCCTAAATTGTCATTATGGACCACTCCTTCTTATAGTGAATACAACAGAAACATCTTAGGCCTAACTATCCCTTTTTAGCCTACCTTTACCCCTTGAGGCTATTTATCCCCTTAATCCTAAAAAACCCGCTTAGACCTACCTACCTACTCCCTTACTCCTAAAACTCCCCCTTGAGCCTGCCTACTCTCTCAATCCTACCTAGCCCTCTTAACTCTAATCCACAACCCAAGAAGACCAATAAGATAAAACGCTACAATAAACAATAACATAATAATCATGTCCGAATAGAAGTTTTCGGCTTTGAACGAATAACCATCGAGAATGTCATCAGTTTGTACACATGAGCCCGTACTGTTGTTCTGTTTTCCTCTGTATATACATCCAGAGTAAGATTCATCTTGTACATTAGACCATTCGTTGATGACTAAGGCCTCAAAGCCATACCTAAAGTAATGTTATAATAGATCAACTCGACAACCAAGAAAAATGCAAAAAATTAAAACTCGCTTACTTAAACCAACTGAAGTTCTGCAACCAACTGATAAAGAATGGCAGAGAACCAACATTAGCATATAAACCTCCAGTAAGTGACAGTAATCCTAAAATAGGTCCAGCTACTGCAACAGCCACAGAATAAGAAGGCGCAATAGTCGAGATCATTATGCCGGCGGCTGCTGAACATTGCTCTATCAAGATGCTTGCAGCTGAAACATAGAAAACTATATTAATATCCATTCTTGATTTAGTCTGCCTAACGCTACCTCACAGTATCACAATAATAGCATTACCATGCCTTACTTTATCATTCCCTACCTTATTCGGCAAACCACACCGTACCTTATATTACAGTACTCCTACCACCCCTGTCTACTTCATATCAACCTACCATCACCTATACCACCCTAACCTATCACCATACCCTAAAGCGTCCCAACTAACACCTAGTTTACCCTACTCCATCATAACGTACACTTAATGGTAAACTTTGACAAAGAAAGTGTCAAAAGGTGTACCTAACGCCCAAGCATTGACAAACAAACCCCTTACCCATGCCCCAGAAAAACGCCGTCCAAGTAGGTATCAATCCAGCCATAACATAGGTAAGTACCATCATAACTAACCCATCTAATGTAAACAATGGTGCATATGACAATGCTCTGGCAAAGAAATACGATGCTACATAGTACAGTCCATCGTGATATTCTCGTACTAGCAATGGGAATTCAAATGGTAAAATCGATGTTACTCCAAAAAAAGTATTGTAAATTAGTTCGGATACGACGTAGAACAAGGCTCCATTCACATTTGATACTCCGACTTTTGTGTCTGTTGGAGTTTGGAAGTATAGTAACCCTACGAAGAGACCCATAAAGGTTTTTTGGATCAGCTTGGCTCGGGTTAGAGATGAGTTTCGCCAATTGTCTAATAAGTTTCGTTTTAGGAGAGTTCGGAGCTAAAATATGGCCGTACAGAATATTTTAGTAGTTTAGAAAGAAACCCTCAGTTTAAATAATTATTCTTTACCTTAGTATACTCTACCATACCCTATCCTACCATATCTTACCCTACCTTACTCTAATATGTCCTACCCTATATTACTATATCCTGCTCGACCCTACCTTACTTACCCTACCTTCTCTGACCAACCCTAGCTTAACTACTCTACCCTACCCTTACCTTCTCACCCTACTCTACCTTATTTTACGATACCCTGCCCGACCCTACCCCACAACACCCTTACCTGTCCCCCAAAAGAAGCCATTTTCGGGTCATATTCATCCCAATAAATCTGATCCACGTCCGTCGCCCGACACTTTTCCACTTTAATCATGAACAATAATGTGGTCTCGGCGTCGGCGAACGTGTTACAAATACTGGAAATTCTTTGTCGTGATTCATTTTCATTATATGGTTCAATAGCCAGCTTTTCGATTATCAAATCAGCTGGATTATAATGTCGTGGGCATGGATATCCACATTGAGTGAAGAAATCGACCGATTCGCTTGGAGATCCAAAGTAGGCTAAGCGGCCGGCGGCTAGGAAAATTACCTGAAATTTTAAATTTCAAAATTTTTTCAAATTTTCTTGAAAGGAGATACAATTTAAAATGTCATAAAAATGTAAAACAACATAAATTTTCAAATTTAAACGTAAAAAATGATTCTACCTGATCAAACTTCATGTATAAACCAGAAGAAGGTTGATGAATGGTGCATATCACAGTATAGCCCCGCCGTGCCAAGTCTTCCATTACATTTACTACACTTTCAGCCATCGCCGAATCTAGACCAGTCGTTGGTTCATCACAGAACAAGATTGGGGGATGATTCAGAAGAGCCGAGGCGAATGACAACCTTCGTGCTTCTCCGCCTAAAACCATATAATTTTTAGAGTTTTTGGTCAAAGCTGATGGTCTTAAAATTTACAAGACAATATATATCGTAATCTATCAGTGAATAATACATACAACACTATATACAACTTTAAAGAATAAAGATGTTGTGATTACTACAAAAAGATATATTTTTGTCTTATAATCAACTTCAACGTACCTGATATGCCTTTCGTGATCCCAGGAACGCCAATACGAGAATTTCTGCATCTTTCCAGTCCTAGTTGGTTGACTAGCTAAAAAACGGTACTTTTAAATTAAAAGTTTTAATAATAAAAAATTTAAAACATAAGCTTAACTACTACAATATTCTAAAAAAAAATAATGTCGTTTTTCGACGTGAATTATCTTTTTCAAAAGCGACAAGACATTTAAAACTCTAGCCAAGCAACTTTTTTTTTTCAAAAATTCCTTTTAAAAATTTAAAAAATAAGTTCCAACCAGCCGGATTCGAACCAGCGAGCTAAGGATTACCGCTTGGAACTACAGTCCTCCGCTCTACCAACTGAGCTATGGTTGGCTGTGAATTTCAATTCATTTCACACAAGTTTATCCTTTAAAATATTCAAAAAAAGTGCGTTAAACTGACAAAAGAGCGGTTCGTTTGATCAAGAATTAATTTAAAACCACAAAAAAAACCAGTTCGTATTTTACAAATAAAAAAGTAAAAATCGTTCTTTAAACTTAAAAATAAGATGGAGATCTAAACATTGCGCCACCTCACAATCCCTACCTCATCAATCCTAGCCCTTTTCTGCTTCTTCGTCAAATCAGCCAACCTCAAATCAGCTTGAGCTTCCAAATGTTCTTGAACAGTTAGTGTACCCACAAACAGCTCATCTTGTTGTACATAACCAGCTACATTGGTTATCTTACTACCCAACTCAACTCCATTAACCAGCACTTCGCCTTCCACTTCAAGCCCTTTCAAGTTTCTGGCCAACAATGTGTTCATCAAGGTTGTTTTACCTGCTCCTGAACCTCCCATCAACGCTACTAGCTGGCCTGGCTCAGCAATACCTAAAGATAAGCTTTTAATGAATAAAGAAATAATAAAGCAGTTTTACTACCAAATTTTAGGCACATATACATCTTTTTAAAAAAGTTATGGTCAAAAGAATGCGCTCACACCTAACATCTACAGCAATATAAACCAAAAATCATCTCAAAAGCAATAAAAAAACATTCATACTTAAAAAACTTACCATTAACATTTTCCAAGATCTTCCGTCCAGTTTGAGCGTGAATAACATTGATATTATGCCAAGATAAGCTCACAGAATTAGCATTATGAACGGAAATCTTTTGTTTTGGCTTGTTTGTTCCATAACTCTTCTTTTGACTGGTCGATACAACCGTAGAACTATCGTCTGGCTGTATTAATCTAACTGTTTCACAATGAGCAGGAGTTGACGTACTCAGAGACATAGCTAAAGCAAAATTATTTAATATTAACTGTATAGGTATACCTAAAACAATATCTTTGAAATTATATTGAACGCTGAGGTCGTTTTAACGTTCAATACATCAGAATAGCAAGATTATAACCATCTGTAACATAAAAAACATAAAAACTTTAAAAAATCATGTATAACATATCACCTTATCGTATGTTATTCGTTATTCCCACAAACGAAACAAAACAATACTAAAAACAATAAAAGTAAATAAAATTACAACTATTGTTGTTCTTCCTCGTATCACAAAAACCAACATACAAAAAAACGCCTATGAAAAATTTTTTACGTATCTTATCAAGAATATTATCATGAACTCTAATTACGAACGAAAAGGCGAACGCACTTTTCAAAAACTGATGTGAAAGAAGTCAGAACACTTTAGAAGACACATGATATTGTTAAGAATCGAGTATGAACAATAAAGGTTGCGGTAGAAGTGATTTACATCGAGATTCTTGTGTATGTCAAGTTAAACTTGATGTCAAAGACAATACTTGTTGTAAAAAAGCAAAAAACTGCTGTAAAATTAAAGAAACCAGTTTGATTTTATCCAGTACGTGCTAAGACTCTTGAAATTTGGCATAAACATCGTATTTTAAATTTTTTCTTCGCAAAATATTAGAATTTGACACTTCGTCAACCTGATATTGAGAAAACTCAATAAACCCTCAATGTTTTTATCAAATTTATTTATCACTCAACAACAAAGAACAACAATATACTTTTTCTGTTTTTTGAACCTTCATACACTTATAGTAGCCTTTAGCCAATCATTTCCCGTTTTCTGCCTCTCATCCTAACTTCAGCCAGCTTGTCCAACGCTGATTTGGCTCCTTTCCACCCCGAATTGCGATAAGCTTCCAGGATTTGGTCGGTAAAGTATTCCATATCAACGTGGGTCGTTCTTATCGCTCTTTCCAATACGTAAAGATCTACACCAAAGTCTTCTGGAGTTGATTTGAAGCTGGACAGGCCAAAATCGAGTAGAACAACAATTTTTGGATCACGATTTCTGAGCATTAGATTACCGGTTGTTAAATCACCATGTGCAATATTGTTTTGATGCAATTTGGCTAGGGCATTGCCTATTGAGTTGGCTATTTCTAGGATTTGGGGCTGAAATATGGGAACTTTTAATTTAACCTTGTTTTAGAAAGATTTTAAAGGAAAAAAATGACATTTTAGTAGCCAATATTATCAAAAACCAAAAATTTTTATCCCATTTTTACGTAAAAACAATAATAATCAGTCTCGATTCAACAACAATAAATTTAACGATTTTTTTCCAAAAAAGCAACACAAAACTACCTTAATATCCTCGCTGTGATCGATTTCCGCCAAATAATCCTTCACAGAACATCCCTGAATCTCCTCAAAGATAATAGCATTGGTTTCTGTGTTTAAAAAGTAGATTGACGGTACTTGAATTCCAATTTCCTTACATCTTACAATCGATTTCATCTCATTCCTCAGCCTTTCTCTTGTTAACCTTCTGTCCAACTCAGGATGACGATACTTTTTCTCGAATCGTGTCTTCTGAATCGCGGGTTTTCCAAGGAAAACACATTTATGAATCCGGGCTTCGGCGCCCTGTGAATGTATTTCTTGTTGAAGTTGGTATGGATAAGAGGATTCTGGTTCTAAAACGCTGATTTTTAAATTTTTGAACGGTTTTCAGACATAATTTGATTACAAAACAGTAATACCGACTCTGACTACTTTTCCCATGCAAAGAAATATATAATTTACAACCTTACCCTTCGGTTCATCGTTATCCTCATCATCTACATCACAAGTCACAGGTTTTCGAACTTCATCCTCAATTTGTTCGTTCTCTTTCACTTCAACTGCCATTCTGATATATAAAAAATACGTTACTCCGGATTTTACATTTAAAAAATAAGCAAAGATAACAAATATCAAGACAAAAACTTGTAAGAAACCATCATAATATCAAAAAACTTTGTTTAAAAATCTTTATTTAACAAAACAATTCAACAAACTGGCAAATAAAACAAAATATCTTTAACAGCATAATCAAAATATATCTTTACCATCTTCTCTTCACTCTTCCTCATCTTCTTCTTCCTCCCCTTCATCTTCTTCGCTATAAGAAGGCGGTAGATCCATACCTCGTTCTCTATCTCTCTGATGTTCTTCTTCCAGCTTCTTCAGATGTTCATTTTGTTTCTCTATCAGATCCTTTGAATCTTTACATCCTCTGTATATCTCCAGAACTTCCTCGTTCAGTTTTAAAAAGTTTGGACCCCATTTAAACTTTGACATCAAGGCTTCAGCTGCTGGAATTTCGTTTATTATCCACAAACCTGCGGCCAATGCCTCAGCACAAGTTAATTTACATGGAGCTCCATAATTTACGGGATTTGCGGCTATTAGGAATGGAAGTAACCTGTGCTCGTTAGCCTGAAAAGTTCTTTTTGAATTTTTCGAAGCTTATCTAGTTTAATGTCCGCAAAATAATAAAATACTCTCCTAAACTCAAAAACAAACAAGACCCTCACCTTGACCCTGTGAATAGGCGTCCCTTCGACTTGATTCCAAGAGCAATCAACCACAGCTAAACCATGATCAAGAATAAATTGACGATCAGCTGGAGACAACGTGCTTGTTCCAGTTGGTGATAAAACTAATCCGGGAAACTTTGACCCCAACTTAATCGTGGTCATTAGACCATGTCTCTGCAGCTTTCGGCCCGAACATCGTTTAGGATCGCATTGATTAAAGTCAAACATTGCAATTCGACAAGGCATAACTGGGACCTTAAACAATAGCTTTATTTGTTAATATTCTCCACCAGATAGCAACATTTTTGTAAATTTCATGCCAACAAAACTTTTCTAAACATCAAAAATTAAAGTAAAAGCCTTACCTGATCTTCCTCTTCACTAGATGTCTCGAGTTCTTCATCAGAAACCTCTTCTTCCGCACTGATATCCAACTTTTCGACTTGTTGAACGCATTCAGCTAGATCACGGTTATCTTTGGTCCTTCCGTGACGTGAATTATCTCCACGAGCACCATTATTGTGAGATCTGAAGCCTCTCTTCTGATTTTTACCCATTTTTGTGAAAAATTCTGCAAAATAAATTATTTTTGAAGAATTGTGACACTCCGTTCTTTTTGTATCGGAAAGGAGCTGGTTGCTTATTGAGTGAAATATTACAGTAAATAAGTTTTTTGTGTAGTTTTTATTAATTTCTTTTATAATAATTTTTTTTAAAACGTAATTATAACTTTAAATTTTTTTTAATTTTTTATATAAAGTGGCATATTATAGTAAATAACGACTAATTTGCTAACCGGAAGTTGTTAATCGGGGTAAAATATTTTCATAACGGTTCAGGATTTTTTGTTTGGACAAACAACGTCTGGAACATGAATTTTGCTATTGAAAATACTCGGAAATCGGGTTTAATCCTACTTGAGCACGCGAACTTTTTCAAACATTCAAGAATTCATAAGTGATGGTTTTCTTGCAGAATTCACGTACTGGCTAGTACTGGATGACATCAATTGTCGTGTTTTTTTATTATTTGTCCTTTACGGAAGTTAATTTTGTCATATTTTTGAAATTATTGTTTTTGTAAGGTGTTTTATGTGAATATCTATTGAAAAATGGCTTTCTTCGTTGAATAAAGGGATTTGAAGACGAATAAAGAATGTAAAACACCTTCTGGATAGTGTTTTTGTTAATTTACGTTGGCGTGCTAGACAATGCAATGATTTTTACGTGTAAAGCTATGTATAAAATTTCAGTATTTTATCAAAAAGTTCGTCGCTTTTTATCTTAATTTTTTGTTATTTTTCATGGTTTTCCGCTTTATTTATGACTTTAAAATAAAATTTTCTAAAAACTGATGTTGAGCATTTTGTAGAGCTTAGTAAACTGTACTTATTTTCAAATTTTGGTTCACATCTGATGTTATTCATGAAAGTTATAGCTAATTGAAAATGTAAAACTCGGTTTTTTTGAGAAATTTGAAATTTGTGATTTTTCGCTATTTTTAATTTGACAAAACATTTTTTATACAGAAATGTATATCTTTGTTGCTACCTCTTAGTCTATGCTTGTTATATATCATATGAAAGTAGAAACATAGTTGGACTGCACTCTCGGCGCTTCTTGTTCATACTACTTGACTACATGCTATAATGTTCTCTCTTATAATAAATTATTATTTGACCTTTTTAAATGACTATAATGCTCGTCTATGCAACATTAATGATTACTTTTGGCTACATATATGCACTATAAGGCCCATGAGAGTTTAATGTCTGTCTGAGCTATTATAGGTTGTTCAACTAATTCTGAGTTTCTTCTCAGGCGTTAAATTTTGTAAAGTCTGTTCGAATAATTCTGAGCTCCCCTTTTAAGGAAAATTTTTATGGTTAGGGGCACAGAATTATTTTAGCAACTTGATATTATAGTGCCAACAAAGTCTTGTCGTTAATTTATATTTATTTATATTGTCAAAAACGACAAAACTTTATTACACTTTATCAATCTTTTCTGGGTCAAAAAATAGGTTGGTCAAAATAGGTAAGGGACAATGGAAAGGCCAATTACTTTATTTTTAAAATAAAAACAATTGAAGCTAAAATTCTTACTGGCTGTCGTTACCCTTTATCTCTTTTACTAATGGTTTATATCCAAAAATGGGTCAAAAAGTCCATTCAAATGTAGTAGAGTAAGTATAATGTGGGAGTTACCATGACATTCTTCATCCTAAAATTGGTCTAGGATGGATCTCCTTTTGTTGGCAAAAGAAGAAAGAAGCCCTTTTCGAACGCAAAAAAGGTGTTTTTGAAACGATTTTGAATAATTTCTTTGCCCTAAATGTTTAAATTGTCATACAATTTTGGTCAGACATTAAAGAATAAGGTTGTTTTCAGTAGATACCACTTGGGGTGGCAATGATGTGAGGAAGGAGAGGGATGGATGGAGAAAGGATGACGTTTTTTAAAATTTTAAAACTTTATAGAAATAAAGGATGAATTTTATTAATATTTTGGTTCAATATTTTTAAATTAGGCATTAAATATAAACACTATGAACTGTATATTATGTTAGATGTAAATTTGAAAGGGGCACCCTAAACCGGCCGGGCTTTGCCAATGCAAAAGGCTTGGCCGACACATCTAGGCCTGAGGGCCGTGGCCTATGGTGAACTTTTTAAAATTTCAACCCAGCTTTCGATAAAAAAAGAAGCGATATTGTTGTAGTTAAACGCTTTTTTTGAATATTCAAGGCATAAACTTGTTCGAAATGAATTGAAATTCACAGCCAACCATAGCTCAGTTGGTAGAGCGGAGGACTGTAGTTTCGAGCTGTAATCCTTAGGTCGCTGGTTCGAATTTGGCTGGTTGGAACCTATTTTTAATTTTTTTTAAAAATTTAATTTTAAATTTTTTACGTTTGAGTTTACTTATGTAATAGCTAGCTTTGAAAATGTGCTTCATATGCCGGTTTGAAGCAAATTTTAAAACTACCGGCTAAACCATTAGGCTTAGTTTGCTTCTTTTACAAATATGCATGTAGCTTATTATATGTATAATATAATTTTTGGCACAATTTCTAATTATTTTACAAATTTTTAATCTGCCTCACTAAGATTTGGAATGTTTTCTAGAAAGATTACTCCTTTACAACTATATGGCTTTACGTTTTGACTGACACTTACTATGTATGCTTTTTCATGTGTAAACAATCTAATCCAGATTCACGTGATTTTTTGCGCTTACAATTCATTAGGATATTTGTTGGGATTTTTGTGGTGTTTTAGCTGTAGGGTGTGATATTTTTAAAAAAAATATTTTTTTTATGTTTTAAAATAGAGGTTTTGCGGAATAACTAAATCTAGATGGCTCACAAGGTTCGGGCTAAGACCAGGCTGAGCCAAAACATTTGAATAGCCTCGGGCTGCTTTGGATTATGCAGGTCTGAGGTCCGGGGCTAATTAAAGGCCTCAGAACCCAAGCTTAGGCCCCGTAACGAAAGATTTTCCTTGCAAACTGTTGAAAGGGGCTGGGCTTTGTGGGCCTGGGGACGGGATCTAAACCCAGACTTGGTCTGGCCCGGCCCGGCTCCTTTACAGGCTTAGCTATTAGAAGCCTATACTGTGGATTACTTTGTTACATTTCTATACTTTTAAGTTTTTGTAATTTTAAAATTTTATGTTACAGTGTTTTCTTTAACACATACTACATATACGCATTCCTCACTTACTATCAAACGTGACTAATCAAGCTACTCAAAATGCCACAAAAACCAGACAATTCTCTAATTTGTATATTTATAATATCTGCTTAATCACGAGTATTTTTTGCCGCATATATATTTGTCCCAATTATCGTGGTACTCGTCTATGTGCCGAGTATTTAAAGAATTTGGCCACACGCTTTTACGGCTATTTTTTCTGTTGGGATTTGCGAGCTAGGTAACACACTTTTAACCCATTAACTACTTACGTTTACAACGGTTTATATGTTACGCAGGAGGGGAAGGGTTTAGGGGTTTTTTGATGACATTTCTATTTTAAGGTATATTATGGTAGTTTATGGATTTTTAAGTAGCGTAGGGTAACTAGAGTTATGGTTAGGGCTCTGGACGAGGGCTCGTACTCTAAGCTAGAGCTTTTGGCTAGAACTGTAGGCTAGGGCTCTGGGTTAGGTTTTGAGCTAGGGCTAGGACTAGTACTTTAAGCTAGAGTTCTTGGCTAGGGCTCATGGCTAGGGCTGAGGGTTAGGGTTCGAGCTAGGGCTAGTACTCTAAGCTAGGGCTCTTGGCTAGGTCATTGGGCTAGGGTTTGAGCTAGGGCTAAAACTAAGGCTAATGCTAGTGCTAAGGCTAAGAACCTGGGCTAAAGCTTGTGTAGAGCTAGGGCTGAAGCTTGTGCTAGAGGTTCAGCTTAAATTGTTAGGCTAGAGCTAGAACTGGGAGCTTTTTTTACTTTACACTAAACATCATTCAACCGCCAGTAAATGTCAAACTATCCTTTCTCAAACATTTTTATATTAATTCCAAGGTAAAGTCGCGTGTCCACTAATTACTTTACAAATTTAAAAAAAGCAAGTGTGTTTTTTTCGATAATAAATTTGTTATTTATTACCTAAAAAAGAGATTTTTCCGTCGTTTTGAGTAAGACATATTAAACAAGGCAGGGGATTAGGTAGAGAGGTAATCGTGCTTTGGTCATCATTCCTTTAGGTAGATAATGGAGTGTCGGTTCGAATTAGCAGTGGGTTGTTTGGGTACGGGGTATGAGGAGACAGTGAGGAGGTTTGCGTGAAAACAGTGTTTAAATTGAGGAGAATGGTACTAAAATGTTAAAGACGGTGCTAATATGATCTGTCTGACACTAAAGTGGTTAGAATGGGACTAAGCTGAAAAAAAATTTTGAAATTGAAAAAATAGGTTTAAATGAGAGATAAATCAGTACTAAATTGAAAAAATAGTACTAAATTCAGAGTATTAGTAATAATAGGTTTTTCAATTAATTCTGTGTCTCCTAACTTCAAAAAATTGCTTTGAGAGAAGGCACAGAATAATGTGAACAATCTCATAAAATTGTAGTAACAAAACCAAGCACTTTTAAATTTTTTTAAAAATTCAGTACTATAGCAAGTATACTCTAATGCTATGTTGTCTGTCTATGAAACACCATAAACTTGTGTTTGCCATAAACTTTGATGTGAAAGATTGCGAAAACTTATAATTGGCCCAAGTTTTGTTGGTTTTCCGAGCCAGCTTTCTGTGTTTTCCGGCCTCTAATTGCCCTGAAGGGATTTTACCTGGCATTATCTGTTGTGTTTTGAAATTTTATTTTTTTTTCGAAAAATTTATGAATGAGGGTGTTAATGCCACTCGTAAGGTTTTGACATCTAAATATAAGGTGTTTTTAAAAAATTCTGGTTGAAAAAATTTTTATAATGGATTTTTTTACTGGGTAAAGTAGGGTAGGGCCAGGTAGTAGAGCAGGGTAATAGAGTGTCAAGGCAAATCAAGGTAAGGCAAGCCAAGCTAAGGCAAGGCAAGGCAAGGCAAGGCAAGGCAAGGCAAGGCAAGGCAAGGCAAGGCAAGGCAAGGCAAGGCAAGGCAAGGCAAGGCAAGGCAAGGCAAGGCAATGCAATGCAAGGCAAGGCAAAGCTTTCCAAAGACTTTTTGGTTAATTTTAACTGCAAATTAAGGTTTGTTCACGTTGTTTTTGCTAATTTTAGTTGTATGAACTTAATTTTGAAGGATTATCTTGCTTTAGGGCATGTTTTGAAGTTATTAAGATCTTAGTTTTGTGATACTTGTTTACATACCGATTTACTCTGAGTTCTGACGCAGTAAAACTGTGTCATACGATTATAACCTTTTATTTATAATTTTTTCTTAATTTTTTTTGACGTCAGATTTTATATTATTAGGTTGTTCAACTAATTCTGTGCTTCCTAATCCCAAAAATTTTCTTTGTAAAGGGTCACATAATTATTTGAAAACAACAAATAATGAATATACATTTTTTTTCGATTTTTTTAAAACACCATGGTTAATAACATAAATAAAATTATATATTTTTTAAAGCTAAAGTTATTATGTTGTTTTTAGTTTTGATGTTCTACTCATAACTGTTATGGGTACAGGTGCTTCGACGACGCGCGTTCAGCGCATCTCTACTGATTCTAGTAGTGTTCAACAGTAAGTTTTCTAACTTTTATCGATTTTGGGTAGGGTATGATAGTGCAATATAGGGTATGATAGGGTAGGGTAGGGCAGGGTAGGGTAAAGTAGAGGACAGTGGTCGGACAGGCTCAAGTTATTTTTAAGCTTATTTATCTTATCCTTTTCAGCAAAAAACCACCGCCAGTAGTCAAGCCACCGCGTCGGCAAAGCCTTGGAACAAGTAAAAGACGAGGATCTGTAAGTCAAATTATTTTTTGATTTTTTAAAAATTTATAAATAGCAGAGGGTTAAATTGTTTTGAAATAACGTCAAGTGTCACAAATATTATTTTTTAAAAATTTGTTGGAAGTAATACTTGTTATGGCACTTAACTTCCGATTTGAAAGCATTTGTCATCAATAAGAGGTATATATAACTTTTGTTTGTCGAGTGCAATTTTGTCAAAAAAAGGTAATTGTTGTGCATTACTATTAACTTCACTATTGGTAACATTTCTATGAGTTACACTGTAGTACTGCTACAATAATATTGTTGGTTATTTTAAAATTCGAATACAAGAAGTAATGGCAAAATGTATTTAGACGTTAAATATACAAGATGACAATGAAGGTGGAGACAAGGGAAACGCCGAATCGTCAGTAATGCCACAACGCAAAGAAGTCGAAGAATATGTAGAAGGCTTGAAACGAGAGGTAAGTTTGTAATAAAAAAACCGGACTCCGCTTGGCTGGGCTTTGCCTGGTTTGAGCTTGGCTGAGCTGGGCTTGGCTTGCCCGAGTTGAGATTGCGTTGGCTTATTATAGCTTAGCTTAGGTTGGGGTGATTGGCCTGGGTAAGGTAAGCTAGGCTGTAGAGTTAGACTAAAATTGTAATATTACCTCAGGCCAACTCACAAAAAATATTGTTATAGATAACATCACTAGACCTGAAGAACCGTTCCCTGGAAGATGAAATAAAATGGTTGAGGGAACAGCTCGGTCAAACGCCAGAAAAGCCAAGTTCTTTCAGCACGGCTAAACAAAAGCCGAATGGGATTTCTGGAGATATTAAAGCAATGTACTTGGAAATGGTCGAACAACACGATTTTTTGGTATGTTAGTATGATAAAAATTGTTTAGTTTTTATTTATGTTTTTTTGAAATAAAAGAAAAAGTGATCTGACATGAGGGTGTTGTTTTAGAAAGCAGAAGCGAAAGCTTTGAAAGAAACGTCAGAAAGTCAGATTCAAGAACTTCAAAGCGAGCTAAAGGAACAAACAGAACGGTACCAGACCAAAGTCAAGTTTGAGCAGGAGATGAGGGAGAGAATGGAAGGTAGGAAACTTTTTTAATTTTTTAAATTAAATTTTTAAAAAAATTGAAATTAAAAAAATATTATTTTTTATATGTTTGTGAAAAGGTCAACAACTGATACGGATTTTTAGAAGTGATTCGAGAACATCTTGGAGAACATTATTTGTATGGAGTCAGAAGTTCATTGGCTAGAGATTCAAGCGTTTCAATCAGCTCTAACTCATCGATCGAGCTGAAGCCATTGTGTAGAAACTTTTTGCCAAAAGGAGGGCGAATGGTAAGGCATTTTGGTGAATTTACTAGTTTTTTTCATATATTAGTAGACTTGAAAGGGAGCCCTCTAGCACTGGTTCCAAACAGGACCGGTCTCGGGCTGCGACGGGCTGTATTGTACGGGTGCAAGGGAGAAATTTGAATAAAGACTTCAGGGACCTAGGTTAAAAACAAGGCTGGTCTGGCACAAAGTGGGTCTAAAGGAAGAAATAAATAAAGGCTAAGGTTATAATCACGACTCGGACTTTTTTAATCCTACATCTAAGGAATAAGGCCAAAACATTAGTTTAAATTTATTTTTAAATTTTGAAAAGCAATAAGAATTTGTTATAAAAATATTGTCATCATTTCAGAGCACACCCCTAACGGACAGTAATGAAACGCTGAATGGAAAACAGTTTGAAAATTACAATGACAAGCTACTACCGCCAATTGCTTCGCCTAGGGGCTTGACTGGGTTTGGGTTGGATGGTCTTGAACAGGTAAGTAAATTGAGTTGTTCTTTCTATTGTGTCTTATAAACATATTTTTTATTGCCTAATACCTAACATCTTATTTACAGGACCAAAACCAGAACTCACACGACCGACCGTCAACTTCGTCAGCGCTGGAGCAACGGTCACGTAAGACTAGAAGGGATACATTAGAAGGTAAGACTAGACCTGTAAAGGGGACGGGAATAGTAAGCTGCCTTTTAGGTTTAGGTAAGGCGTTTTGCTTATAACAATGTGTATACTAGGTTCAGCTTCGGCTCGGTGCGGAATTTTTCTGTAAAACAAATTTTTTCTTGTCTAAAACAACGTTATTTTCTTCATTTTTTAGAACTGACAGTCAGTGAAAACGATTTAAAATCTTCAAATGTTAGTGTATTCCGAAGACCTACAGAATCACGTCAAAGAAGATTGAAAAGCCGAGAACGGCGGTTGAACGATAGCCATCGGAACGCTCAAGCAAAGCGTAGAGAATCTGAGGAAATTGAAGTTGAAAGCATCACTAGCAACGATGTAAGTGCAATGTACGGAGTAAAATGTAAAGTTTGATATGATTTGGTTGTTCAAAGAATTGTGCTTGTTTTCAAAGCAAATTTTTTGGGGTTAGGGGCTCAGAAATATTTGAAAAATTTAATATAAAAATTACAAAAAATGGCTGAAAAATTAAAATTAATTAATATAATTTCAAATGTTTTAGAATTTCGCTGATAACGAAGACGTAGACGAGATCCTCAACGTGTCTATACCTTCATTGGCTTCCATAAAGCATTCTGGAGATAGTGTAACACCGGTGGAAAGGTTTAGCCGGCTGTCAACTTCTGCCAAAAGCCGAGATTCTGGCTTCTTGGGAGATACGATTGGGGAACGAACTATTGTGCGGTAACTGTCCCAAATGACATTTTGAGACGATTTTTTTGAAGTTTGTGAAATTTTTGATTTCAAAAAAAATTTTTTCATTTGTGGTTTAATTTTACTTATGCATAATAAGCTTATGTACTATGCATTTAAGAATGCTTTAATCAAATGTAAAACTCTTTAATACTCTTTTTATACTTTATTTTTTTATATCTTATGTAACATGGTATCTTATGATAGTAAAATTTATTTCTTGAAACTAAATCTTTCAAAATCATGGTAATTCGATCTCTACAGCAATATCAGCCAAGTCTTTGCAATAATGACATTTTTTATATGTAATTTTAATTCTTTAAAAAGTTTTTAAAAGATTTTAAATTTTTCGGAGGATTTTTGGATGTACTTTAATATTGTCCTAATCATTTATGATATTGTTCACAATAATCAGTAACCACTTATAAAATTGTGTCTTTCATACCATATTCTTTTAAAATTTGTGCTAAAAGGTTTTTTTCACGTTGAAAGTAATCTTCGGAATAAAATTTAAATTTCAGTTTATAAAGTATATTTTTATTGTTCTACATATTGTTTTAGGTACTTTTCTAGCAAAAAGTTTAAAAGTTAAAGTTTATGTTTCCAAAATAGATAATTTTCAACTTTTTTCAAAATTTTTTTTTCTGGGGGGGAGATTTTAACATTCCTTGACTTTCAGCCCTAGGACCTTGTCTTACTAATTGAGATACTTTTATAGAAGAGAATATCACTCCAGTTCAAGAACAGCAACAACATTAATACTCAATCCTACTCCTGCCCATTTTAACCTTACCCAAGCTTACTCCTGAAAATTCTAGATTCGCTTAATTTTACCGTTGCCCGTTTTAGTCTTGCTCAAGGTACCCCTACTTATTAGGTTCAACCAAAAGTAATGGGACACGTCGTAATTGAAAAAAAATTAAAAGTGTTCCGCTACTTTTGGTTCAATTTAATATTTAGCCTTACCCAAGCCTATGCCAACTTATTTTAGTCCTACCTAAGCCTACCGCCGGATATTGTAGCCTTTCGCAATTCCACTCCCTTCTATTTTACCTTACTCAATTATACCCCTGCTTTTGTTATCCATACCTTAGCATTAAAAACTTCATAGTCGCTCATCTTTATTCCGTGCTCCCCAGCTTGGCCGTAATGCCCTGAGGCTTTTCTCATACCTTGACCTCTATTTCCTTCCTCTACTTTTTAACTTTTATTCAAATACAGGATGCGCAAAAAGTTCTGTTACGCGGTTTTTAAATCAAATATTTATTTTAACAACAAATAAAACAACAACTAACAATAGTAACATATAGTACTAGTTATAACATAGTCAACCGGTTTCAAAGTGTCCCCCCTTTGCGGCTTGGCACAATTTTAAATAATTTAACCGCAACATAGAGAAAACAACCGGTAAAGTTTTGTAGCAGAACTTTTTGCGCCCCCTGTAGTAAAATACCTCAATTTTATTCATCTAAAACTGATTAATCAGATCAAAAGCTTTAAAATTACCTTTACAGTCGGACCAAACGGTAAAAACAAGATGAATGCCTACCCCTTAATTTGAGAAAATCAGTGCATAAACAATAAACAGAGAATTACTTTTACAAACCAAATTCCGTTTATTGACCTTGGGCGTTTTTATGATTTTAAAAGAATAAAAAAAACTCTGCGGCCCGGCTTAACACAAATGTGGCACAAGGTCGTCTGTTTCGGAGAAACGGTTTTTGTTTATTGATCTTTAAAATGTAATCGTTTAAGAGTTAATGCTGACGTCAAAGTAATTGGGCGAATTTGGTGTGGAAGAGACTGGATGACATTGTGGAATTAAGTGTTGGATTGTTTACATCGTAACAATTGTAGTTTCGTCTTGAATTGATTTTTAGTGTAAACAATAGTTTTAAAATTTAAAAAAAATTAAAGTTTAGAAAAAGAAAGGTTTGTTGGCTATGGCAAGCTCTTTCTATTATTTTGGAAAAGCAGTATCGCTCTTTTCCTTCCTGGAAACTTTCAAAAAAAAGTTAATCGTGGCACTTTTGATAATTTAATGAAAAGATAATTTTAAAAAACTGGCACAGGTAGATGGATCAGTTATTCAACCTTCACCGCTCAAATTCCACTGCCTTTCCTGGCTTAAAAAATATTTTTACTTTTTCAATTTTGTTTCTCATCCTCTCACCCTTCTTTCTACCATCTTTCCTTATTGCCTATACCTAGGCCTGTAAAGAGGACCGGGTTTCGATTTTTTAGCCCGGCTTCTTTCAAATTTGCTTTGGCTTAGTTTGGTTCGGCTTCTTTTTATAAATTCATTTAAATAATAACTGAAGCAACTTGAATCGTATTGCATCTACTGTGTCCTAAATAACCAAGAATTTAACAGTTTTAGTATTTAAACAGAATTCAAAAACAATTCTTAAATAGACGGCTTTATAATCAGATTCGTTTTGCACTTTTGACAAGTCAAACCTTTCTTTGCGAGACCTAAGCCGAGCGCCTGAGGCCTTGGCTTGGCACCGGCTCCAAATATGCAAGCCCAGCGCTGCCCCTTTCAAATTTTCTTCGGCAGAGAGTCAAGGCAGGCCTAGTGGTTTCTTTAGATCTACTTCTAATTGTCCCTTAAATGTCGTGCATGCTTTACTTTTCCGAAATTTTTCATTGCTTTCCTATCCGTCTTATCACATCCCCCTAATTCTTTCTAACACGTTTACTTTTTGCCTGACCCTCACTGTTAACGATCTTGTTATTGTCTGTCTTTTTCGGTTTTTGTTTCAAAAAGTTTTGAGTTGTTGACAAACGTTGACAGATCTTTTGTAGAAAGGTTTGGAACAGTAAATGCAATAAATAACAGTTCCTCGACTGAAAACAAAACTGTTTCCTGTTCCTTCGGACGTTGAAGCGTTTAAGGATGGTTGTAAAAAGGACGCCCACGTACTACAACATTAGTTGTATTTTGTATTTTCATATTGTTTGTGACTTATTTAAAACTGAAAATTTTAAAAATTGAAAGCCTTAGGCATTGAAAATATTAACCTTTCTTCAATTATAAACCGTTTCAAAAAAAGTAAACAAATCTTTCCTTCCTAGACTTGTAAAGAGGCCTCGCCAAGCTCAATTTATTGGCCTAGCTCACGGACGGGACCTTGGTTTGAGTCTCGTTTCTCGATTTCATGTATGCCGACTCGGCTGAGTCTTATCAAAATCGTTGGCAAAACAAATCTATCGTTACGGGACCTAAGCTGCCTGAGGCCGCAGTTTGGGCACAGGCCCTCAGGCCTACCTGTACTGGACTGTCTATTTTCAAATTTCTTCTAGCCAAGCCGGGCCGCCTAGTAGGCTCCCTTTCAGGTCTACTCCCTCCTCAGGTTAAATTTTTTTCAAATTTACTGACAACCGACTGCCTAAATCAAAATTCAAGTGGTAAACCTCCTACACCAAGCCAGTTGTAAACAAATCATCCTGAATTACAATTACAACTGCTTTTGATTTGGTTTCCAACTCAATTAACACTAAAATGCTTTAAAACAAAACTTTTGTAAACGGTTTCCCATTTGTATTTGATGTTTACTATTGATGAAATCAGATAGTAACAAGCGTGAAACTATTTTTGTTACTGAAATCAAAACCATATCGAGTTATAGTAAACAAGATTCCATTGCTGATTTAATGCACTGCATCAATGAGCAAAACATAAATGGTTTAGGTAATTGTTTATGGAGGTAAAATTTTACTTTTGGTAAAACAAAAGACAATTTTTGTTAGCAATTCTTACCCGACAACACGATAGTCTTAATAATATTATATTATAATCTCAAATCTCTTTTAGAGGCAAAAGTGCCATTATAACCAGAGTGTCACACTATATTATTTTTGATAAGGGTTCTTTTACAAAAGGCAGTCAAAAAGCTGTCATTATAAAGAGAGCGATATTCTACCGACAGTCATACTAAAAAGTTTCACTATATTGTCATGATATAAACATTTCATTCACATATACATATGTCCTTTCAAAGATGTGCCTTTTCTCTTCTCAACTTTTTGCGTATTGTAGCTAAAACTAAGCTATATAATAGTAAAATACGATTAAATAAAGAAGAAAAAAACGAAAAATAAACTTTTAATTCAAATTTAACCAATTAAGAACAAATGTTTCAGAAAATACTTTATAAATATTTCGAAATTTCTCAAAATAAATATATTACTAAACTTTTATAGTAGTATTTTAAATCTTAATTTAAACATTATTCTATTTAATTTCCAAAAAAAGTACTTGTCCTGTCTTGCTCAAATATTCCCAAAATTATTATAACAAACAAGAATATGTGTGTAATCTAGGCTTGAAAGAGTTGGGCACTAGGACTGCTCCGGGCTGAGCCGGACTAAAGAGAATTTGAAAAAAGTCGAATCGGGTCGGCGCATGTGTACCCGAGCACCGAGGCCCAAACTGAATCTCCAGGGCCCCACTTTAAGTGTTGCAATGAAAGATTTGACTGCCAAAAGTAAAAAACAAGATCTTAATAAGTTTACTAAAAAATAATTTTTGAATTGTGCTTAAAATTAACATTTTTAAATTATTGGTTAGCTAGGGCACATAAGTAGTACGATAAAAGGTGTTTTATTTACTACTTTAATAAAATTTTATAAGGTACCGGGCTCAAACAAACTTGAAAAGAACGATACCAGGAAATGTAGACCCGAAGAACGGGGTACAAACTAATGCCAAAAAATTGGGCTTGGACATTTTAAATTCCTAAAGAATCCCCAAATATAATATGTCTCTTTTATAAACTTTTCTTAAACTAGTATGCAAAATTCAAATAAGAAATGCGGGACTGAGAAAATAAAAGGCTGAGGAACCACATGATATAAACATTATCAAGCGGCCTAAACTCAGTATTTTTAATAAAAAGTAGACTTAAATATGTTAATTAAACTTTTTTAATAAAAAGTAGACTTAAATATGTTAATAAAACCTTTTTGAACAGGTCAACAAAAATTTTAATTTCAAAAATGAAACCCACAACCAGGCCACATGGAACGCTCAATGCTGCATAAAAAAATCAGAAAAATATTCATAAATGACCTAAACTTTTGTGTTTGCATCATGCTTACAAACCAGCACCTTCTCGAAGGGTTCGGGGCTTCAAGGTTCTTGTCGGAATCGCCGGAATCTGTTGTTGTTTGTTGTAAAGTTCGCAAAAGTAAGGAGAACCTTTTCGCGGTCCATCGAAGAAAGCAAAACACCTTGAGCGATGGGCATGGAAGGAGGCGGGTCGGCGGGTTTTAAGGCCCTATAAAAGTTGGCGGGCCGGGTCCTGATTCTAGTGTGGAACTGTTCAGCGAACAAACTTGGTAAGTTTTTGGTTTTTCGGGTAATTTTGTGAAGTTTGTAGGGTTTTATGGTTAAATTTTTAAAAAATTAAAAAAATTTTTTTTGCAAAAATTTTGTTTACAACTTGGAACAGTCCAACCCACATTTTTTTGCTATTTTTTTATTTTAAAAACCGCTTCAATAAAAAAATTTTCAGCTGAAACCATGACCGCTCGTGTAGCCGTTCTTCTGTGCTTGTTGATTGGCGGAGCCAACGCCGGTGGCGGATATGCCGTAGCCCCACCAAGCTACTCGTCCGGTGGCTCTAGCTACGCCAAGCCACAAACCTACTCGGCTCCAGCCCGCTCGTCTGGCTACGCTCGTCCTCAACAAACCTACTCGGCCCCAGTCCAACAACAGACTTACCAAGCCCCAGTCCAACAACAGAGCTACGCTGCTCCAGCCCAGACCTACTCGGCTCCAGTCCAACAACAAACCTACTCGGCTCCAGCTCAAAGCTACGCCGCTCCAGCCCAAAGCTACTCGGCTCCAGCCCAGAGCTACAGCCAACAATCCTACGGAGCTTCCAGCTACGCTCAACCAGCCGCTAGCTACGGATCCTCATACGGTGGATCTTCATACGGATCTGGCTACGGAGGACAGTCCGCCGGATACGGTAGCTCATACGGATCTTCAGGCTACGGACAATCTGGCTATGGATCATCATACGGTGGACAATCTAGCTACGGATCCAGCTACGCCCAGCCATCCGCCAGCTACGGATCTTCATACGGCTCTGGCTACGGAGGACAATCGGCCGGCTACGGACAATCCGCTGGATATGGCAGCTCATACGGTGGACAATCCAGCTACGGATCTAGCTACGCTCAGCCAGCCGCCAGCTACGGATCTTCATACGGAGGTCAATCCGCTGGATACGGACAATCTGCCGTCTATGGATCTTCATACGGTGGACAACAAGCTTCATACGGATCCAGCTACGCTCAACCAGCTGCCAGCTACTCCCAACAATCTTACTCTGCTCCAGCCCAGACTTACTCTGCTCCAGCTCAAACCTACTCTGCCCCAGCCCAAACCTATGCTCAACCAGCCGCTCCAGCTTACCAAGCCCCAGTCCAACAACAGACTTATGTCCAACCAGCTGCTGCCCCATCATACCAAGCCCCAGTCCAACAACAATCCTACTCCGCTCCAGCTGCTCCAGCCGCCTCATCGTACGCTCAACCACAACAAAGCTACTCGGCTCCAGCCCCAGAACCAGCTCCAGTAGCCACCTACACTCAAGCTACCGCTGCCCCAACCACCGCCGCTCCAGAGCCAGTCTACGAGACCACTGCCGCCCCACCAGCCTACTCTCCACCCTCCACGACCGTTGCCCCACCAGCTCCACCAGCCCCCGAACACCCAGCTTCATCCGGAGGTTACGACGTGCCACGCACCAACTCCAACATCCAAAGCAAGACCTACGTGAACCAGGTCTCCTCATCGTACTAAACTGTCTAGACAAGTGGAGCTTTCCGAATGCTTCGATCTCTGAAAGTACCATTTCATACCTGGTGCCATTTCTTTTCAAACACTGCCTAATTTTTCGGACGTTGAAAAATGTGCAAATAAAGTAATAATAATAAAGATTTTGAGGTTTTGTGCCCTTTTTAATGTTATAATACTTTTTAAAATTTAAATTTTAAGATTTTTTCCATTTTAGATTTATGCCATTTTTAATGTAATACCACTTTTTGATATTTAAATTTTGAAGTTTCATACCATTCTAAAACTACATGCCATTTCTAATATTGCCCTTTAAAAATCTAAAAAAGATCCACAAAAGACCCTTTGTTTACCTAAAAAACTTGATCTTATCACCACGCCCTTCAGCCTTGAAACGTTCGCAATTAACAACATCGGAAGAGTGATCATTGTCCTTCATCAACTAGCTTTCAATTACAATGTTTGCAAACGGTCTTTCTCGGATGACGCAATTCACAAAATTCAACGAAACCGTTTGAAATACAACCGGTAAAGGCATTAAACACATCCACACCCAAACTGTGGTTTGAGTGTAACTTTTTATTAGAAGAAGTGCAAATGATCTTGTTTATCAAAAGAGTTAGACTATAATAAGAAAAAGAAGTAAAACCTTACTTTATCTAGCCCTAAACTACTCTACTTTACTCTACCCTACTTTACACTACATTAACTTAGCGTACCCTACCCTACCTTAGTTCATACTACCAACCTTACCCTTTTCTATGCTATTTTACATTACATTATTTCGATATAAAATCATGGCCTAACATCAGTTTGTCTCATTATCCTTTTTTAAAATCTTATCTACATCATTGTCATCAATTTTCAAAGAAAAAGTTACACCTTACACCAAGTGTAACATCAGATTTCCGTGAAGAAGCGTCCCTAGAATCAGCTTTATTTTGTTTTTGTTTACGCTGTTAAATGGACATTAAGTAAAAACAAAATCAAGGTCAAGTATCTTACTAGAATTCTGTTTACAGGTCGAGCTTCACACCGCGTACGAAAAGTTTATGGAGCGGAACGATCAAGTGCTACTAATGAAGATTCACAGACGATATTGTACCCAAATATTACGAGTTTAAATATTAATGTAGATAAGAAATGAAAGTTTAGAAAATACACAATAAAGCAGTAATATACAATGAAAGAAAACGTAAAATTAGAGTGAACATGAAAGAAAGCTTGATATTCTGCGGCAAGAACAGTAAAAAATTCAAAAAAAAAATCAAATCGCTTTTTCCCGCCAGAAATCTCTTATTTTTTTGTCTCGGCCATCAGTAGCTCAAGACTTGTTTTAACTGCTTTTGTTCTGAAATTTTGACTGTTTTCTGTTTGAATTTTGTAAAATATTGTACAAAAATATTTTTAGACCTTATTTCAATCTTCTTTTAACATTATTTGTTACTATTTTGATTTATATTGAAAGATAATGCGGATATATTGTTATAGATGGTTTTGTTACTTAAAAAAAAGTTGTTGCCGTTTTGTTACACGTTAATACATTGTGATGTATGTTTAGTTATGCACAATAATGTGGTAAACGTTTTAGAGAAGAAAAAAATTGAGGTAATTTGTCGAACAATCAGTTTTTGGCGATCGGAGGACCTTCACCATGGTGTTCTTGCTTCGAACTGTGAAGAGCTGCCAGGTGGACGAATATTGCTGTAAAATGAACTTATAAGTGGTATATCATCAAGTATGTTTGTGTAAGTTTATTTTCTTATTAGTTTTAATGTTTTTAGGTAACATCTCGGCAATTTTCCTTGTTTTTCGACCTGATAAACATGGACAACATATTTTTTTGATAAACTTTGGGGTTTTCACGGAGAATTTGGCCTTCTATACCTGAATTTTGAATTGCTATGGATTGTATTTGTGAAATTTTAGCAAAATATATGGGCATGATCATGTCATACGTTTTTTCTTATTATTTTCTGATAACTTTTTTTCGAAATGCGGTTCATTTTTTCGTATTTGTTATGGATAAGTTTAGGTGTAAGTGCTCAGAGACCAGATGAATATACGGGTCTTATGCAGTTGGGTGGATCATGGACATCAAGATACGAAGTGAAACGACATGTCCAGCCAGGATATCTTGTGATGGGTATGATATAATTTTAGATTTTCATTTTTACTTTTTTCTGTAATTTGTAATTTTATTAGGTTTTTCAATAAATTCTGTGCCTCTCTCAAAGCAAATTTTTGAGGTTAGGGGGCACATGATTGTTTGAACTACCTAATATTAAAAAATTCGATTTTATCCAAAATGAAGTATTTTGGCTTTAAAAATAAGCTTTTTAGTAGTAACATGTGACCGAGAATCCGACTGCTATAGTCACTGTCCATTCCACTATCCTACTCATTACTGCGACTTTGTATATCAAGGAGAATGTCATTGTTGGGCGTTTCCAGATGATGAAAAGAAGTATCCTAAGGCGTACAAAGCTATCTTTGATCGAAAACCAAAGTATTTTTATGATGATATCACGTTCTATGAATAAATTTGAGTATGTTGAAGTATTTGACATATTTGAAGGTTGTTCAAATAGTTATGTGTTTTTAAAAAGTTCCTATGAGTTATGGCTCATTACTTTTTGAACGCGTTTGTCATAACTATTAGGTGGTTCAAATAGTTTTGTGCCCCATTTCAAAGCAAATTTTCGGATTGAAAAATGGATTTTAACCGGCAAGCTTTGGCGTTTTTGAATTATTTTTAAACATCTTGTTTTCATTTTTTATATTTTTTAATCAAAATGAGGTTGATTTATAAGTTTATGATATTATTCTTCTTTGTATCGGAGTCAACTTCAAGTTATGTATGTGTTTTTAATTTTTTTTTGATTTTTTTTCATTTAAAAACAGTTTTTTTTATTTATTTAGGTAACAATTTAGAAAAATACTGTTTTTAGAAGCGACATCATCATGTGTACAAGCACTTGAGCATTGGAATGATTGAAATCGGCTACAATTCGACGATTCCATGTGAGACAAAGGAGTTCTGTCAAGAATTATGTCCACTACGATACGAGATTGCTCATTGTACGAATGGGATATGCAGATGTAAAGCCCTTCCTAACGATATGGATCGATTTGAACAGTTCTACTTGCATGCTTATCACAATCGAGTTCATTGTCTGTATAATATTAGTTATAAGTATAAAGATCCATTTTTTTGATTGTTGGTTACTAGGGTAAGCTATATAAGGTTGGTGCAGTAGGATAGGATAGGGTAATTTAGAGTAGAGTATGGTAGGGTGGGTAGAGTAAAGTAGGGTAGAGTAAATTAAATAAGGATAGGACAGAGCAAAATATGGTTGGTATCTAAATTTTACAATGTAAAAAAGACTTGTCGTCAAGTTATGTGTATTTGAACGTTGAAAAGCGACAAAAGGTTTTTCAAACATACCTTTATATAATGCTTTACAAATACGTTTTCCATGATGAGCCTTAAGAACAATTATCTCTAAACTGTGTTTTTTAAAAGTATATTTTGGCATATTAACTATATTATAATAGTTTAGTACTAACTGTACTCAGAACGTCATAAATACGTTGACAACCTACACTATCTTGTGTTAATGGTTTTAGATATTCGGTATTCGTTTGTGTCTTTATCTATATATATATTAGGATAGAGTAGGGTAAGATATAGGTAGGGTATAGTAAGGTAGGGTAAGATAGACTAAGGGGGTGTAGGGTGAATTAGAGTAGATAATGGTAGGATAGAGCAAGATATGGTACATCACTGTACAAATCACTTACACTTCACCACACTTTATGTCTTGCTTTAACTGAATATTGCTAAAACAATGATAATATACGTGTCGTTGCAAGTAATCTTTGAAGAATTTGCACGTTAAAGTTAGCGGATTAAATTGAAAAATGACGCGTTCGAAAAACAAATAAAGATGAACGAAACATACGAAGTAATAGTAAGTACATGAGTCAGTCAAATTAAATATTTGTTTACTGTTCAAAGACAACTACATATAAGGTATGGTGGGGGTAGCGGAGGTTGATAGCAGCTTGTACAGTAATTTTTCTTATACAATTATATAGTAGCGATGAGGACTCTTATAGTCATTGGTTTATGGGTAAAAAAGCTTTGATAGTAGGTTTAGTTCAATTGGAATAAGACATACCAGGCTTTAAGTTTGGAAGCGTAGCCTTGGCTTTTTGGATTTGTATGTTATACATAATGGGCTTAAACGGAGCGGGCCCAATTTTCAAGCCCAGCCCGGCCTGGCTCGTTTCTCATGTCTAGGCTTACCTTTACTAGATCTAGTTTTGTGGTGGAATTTAAGTAGTTTATGTAGTACTGTGCTATACCTTGTTTTCCGATACCTTTCTATAATCTACTTTACCTTACAACTACATTATTTTAAATTCCTTACTCTAACGTACATTACCCTACCATACGCTACTCTGCCCTATGAATATGAGTATGACACTTGTGTTTTGACCGTCCAAATCGCAAAGTTATTTGAGTTTTGCGCGAGAATTAAGAATGCAAAAAGGGGATCGAACGGCTCTTAATCCAAACTCATGTCTTTTGACTTTACTTGACTGTTCTAACTACCCAAAATAGAGCTGTTTTTAGTATTTACCTTTTTAAATTGAAACTATTTTTAAAGTTTTTTTGTTTTTGAATATTAAAGAGAATACTTACGGTGGGATAGTGTAATTCAGAGTAGATAACGGCAATGAAATGTAAGGTGCAGCATGAAAATTGTTTTTGGTAAAGGTTATACTGTACAGTATGGTGGGGTAGAGTACAGGGCTTGACACGGTACGGTAACATAGAGTAGAATAAGCTAGGGTTCAGTATAGTGGAGTAAAGTAGGTAAGAGTAGAGCAAAGTAAGATAGAGTAGGGTAAAGTAAGGTAGGGTAGGGTAGTTTCAGTTTGTCTATTTACAGTTTAAACTATCGTATCTACTTTTTCCTTTACATCACAGTCTATGT